ACATTACAATGAACGTCATCCAATGCTATGCACATACCAACAACTACAATGACGACGTTAAAGATCAATTCTACGAAAGGCTGCAGTCAATCGTCGAGAAATGTTCACCAAAGGATTTGACGATTCTTATGAGAGACCTAAAGGCCAAGGTTGACATGGACAACACTGGATATGAAGAAATCATGGAACGACGCGGACTGGGAGAAAGGAACGAAAATGGTGAGAGATTTGCAAACCTATGTGCCTTCAACAAACTGGTCATCGCTGGCACAATATTCTCACACAAGCGCAAACACAAAGCCACACGGGTTTCACCGGATCACACTACTCAGAACCAAATCGACCATATCTGTATCAACAAAAAGTTCAGAAGGACTAAGGAGGATGTGAAAACCAAGAGATGAGCTGATACAGCCTCAGATCACGACTTTCTGGCCGTCAGAATGAAACTGGAATTAAAGAAGCACTGGATAACAATCGATGTTGGCTCAGCTACAATTGAAGCGATCAGCATGGCCATCAGACAAATCAAGAGCTGCAAATCAGCAGGACCAGACAACATTCCAGCAGGGACAGTGAAAGCAGAAGTGGAAGCAACTGCAAAAATACTTTACATTTTCTTCAACAAGATTTGGGATAAGGAACAAGTACCATCAGACTGCAAAGAAGGACACCTCATCAAAATACCAAAGAAAGGAGATCTCAGCAAGTGTGAGAACTACAAAGGCATCACTCTTCTCTTAATACCAAGCAAAGTCTTCAACATGATAATGTTAAACAGAATGATGGACATCGTAGACACCCAACTTCGAGAACAATAGGCTGGATTTCGTAAGGATCGATCGTGTACTGACCAAATTGCTACATTACGGATCATTGTGGAACAATCAATTGAGTGAAATTCACCATTCAACATCAATTTCATTGACTACCAGAAAGCATTCGATGGCGTGGAACAGAACAATACGATGGAGGCATTTTCGACACTACGGTGTGCCTGAGAAAATAGTTAACATCATACGGAATTCTTATGATGGATAAAAGCACAAAATCATGCACGGAGGTCGGCTGACAAACTCTTTTGAGGTGGAGACCGATGTCGAGCAAGGTTGCTTACTGTCACCCTTTCTCTTTCTCCTGGGAATAGTCAATAAGTCTCTTTGGAGTCCAACATCAGCATTATTAGTTTCTTGAACTTAGTGATTGTGCGACAGATACGGATGGCAATTGGTGACCTGTTCCACAATAGACTGTATCGTATTATAAAGAGAATACAATGCATCTTTCTAAGTAGTCGAGTTTATGGCTCCATTCAAGCAGTCGCCGGATGAAATGTCACATATACTTACTGAAGACAAAATAATTACCAAAAATCAAATTGCTTCTGGCAGTGCAAAGTGAGACTTCTGGTTTTCAATGCGAAACTATAGAAGCATAAGAATGAAGTTAATGTGGGAGAAAATAATAAAAATAAATGTTACAATGGCAAATAGAGTGCCAGAGAATCCAAAAGCCTCGGCACCAGAAGTTTAACAAAGAACCATTCTAGGATCCTCTGTCTCTAATTGAAATTTGATCACTTAGACGCATTTTTTGCTGATGGCGTCTAAAAACTCATAAACAGTTCGCAGGACTCACTCATATGGTTGAAGAACCCCACTAAAATGAGAAAGTGAGCAGAAGACAATAGGTTAAAATTAAGTCTAAGTCCCACATCCTCGAAGAGAAAATATACAGCAGTATATTCTCTCAAAAATATATCAACAAGGATGATACTGAGCTGTGTCGCTATTATTCTCTGAATTCACAGTCGCCGTACAGATAGCGTCATGAACCATCTGTGACCCTATTGAGCACCTAACTCTTCGGAGCGTCGCTTGTGATTGCTACGTCCATGGTGCATAATAAAAGCAAGAAAATTAAACGGAAGTATAGAGAACCTCAAAGACTGACTTGTAGGCCGTAGATTTTTTGGTATTGAAATAGGATCAGTAAATAAGCCAGCCTTACGGTCTACTCCTACAATTTTCTGACTAGTCAAGTTATGGAGTGGGAATCTCGGTCGCGACCTAATCACCAGAAGTCTCAACGTGCTCACAAACCTTGAAATACGGTTGAGGTTAGTGACTGTTCCTATATAATCATGAACCTTAAAAACCGTTCTTACCTTCCTTTAAGTTCGAGGGATATAAACGATAGGATGCTTTAGGAAGAGTTAGACGGGAAGCTGAAACTTCTTCAAACTGAACTACTAACAGTTACAAGGCTTACCGGGAGAAATAAAAGCAAACCATAAGATCATCCAAAATTCTTTCAAACGACGTTCACTAATTCGACTGACGTTGTGCATGTCTTAGTTAGTCTTACTGAGCAGATGAAACCTGGAAGCGGTGAACGAATATTGCCTGGCATACCATATCCGAAGCCCAATCACGGGGTGAACCCAGAAAGAGAAGAAAAGACCGGAAAGTATCTAAACGAAACCAACGAAATCACTTCGAGGACTCGAACCCAAACATCACGAAAGGTGTACTTAGCAAATGAATTTTCACATATTTCAGTAAACGTGGCTCAAAGATGACCTCCTAATAACCCGCAACCATTTAAACACTCTTTGCCACCCATAAAATTTCTTATTCAGGCTAAATCCGAACGCGCACCATGGGGACAGTACCGAGGAATCAGCAACAGAAAGTAGTAGCCTACCTTTGAATATCGCCAGAGACTGGGATGGGCAAGCAATCTGTCAACAGTCCTTCAAGAGGAAACACGACATATTCTTAAGTACTCGAGTCAGTATCTCATCATAATTTACTAATAATTCTCTTTAATTCGTTAAAAAATTAGGTTTCTACCGAATCGGATAAGATAACCCAATAAGCGGAAGCTGATCTTACTTCATCAGCAAATATTTTGAATAGTTTCGAACCCTAAAATATATCAGTCGACAACTGACTGTGGTCACCGAGGAAATCTCACTCAAGAGCATAAATTACTGTTACTGAACACCACCTAGAGGCGAGTTCAAAGAAATTATATGGCTGATTCCCTTTCTTGGGAAAGATATTGAACTTGGAGAGCCGAACTGACAACAGCTCCTCCCAGAGAAAACATTACAAACACATACTCACATTCATATCATCTCTAATATCTCCTCGCAGCGCGATCACGGTTTAATAACCACAGAAAGACTCCACACGAGTCCGAACTATGTAGGGGATGCAGCCAAGGCAAATGCGACTCTTCACTTTACGCAAAGAAAGCTTGGTGCTATTACCTCGCAATTATTTTTGGCACTATTTAAGACGTGTGCGCGCCCACACCTGGAGGTTCACAATTTCATCGCACCCTCTCTGCTTGAAAGAGACATAAATCTCTCGGATCTAGTGCAGAGACGAGCAACGAAATGGGTGATAGGGTTGAAAAATAAACCCTACGACGACAGACTCCAGCTCTTGGGTTATTCCCACTGAGCTGCAGGAGAATCAGAGGTGATCTGATTATGGCGTACTACATATTAAGAACGCCAAACCATACTGACGTGAGCACCTTACCGATGCATTACCAATAATCCCCCCGGGGTAATCCTCGAAAGATTACACGTCAAAGAGCGAATACTTAGGTTCGTGCACACTTTTTCTCATTGCGAGTCGTCGCAACTTGGAATGCTCTCCCAGCTGAGGTGACCACAGCCCCCTCAGTAGACAGCTTTAAGAAGAGACTTGATAATCACGAACCCACATACGGATTATCATCCCCCTCTTGGACAAGCTGTTCATGACGCATATCTTGAGACCCTGTGGTGGACCAAAAGATATATTATTTCGAAATACTAACAAAGTTATTGAATACAAACGGATATATATTGAAATATATCCGTTAAATGTAATAAACACAATAAATATGTAAGGACGTTACTTTATACGGCTGCCTGTACGTGTTCGGTTGTGTTTGGTACCATAAATCCACAATTATAGAAATGTCGGTAATCCAAATGGTGTAAATATCCGTAAAGTAGCACAGACGTATGACTGCAGTCTATAAATGTAGACAATACACGCATTAAAATCCAATTATCGTATTAATGAACGGTTGAGAACATGAGATGTGCGTATAAAATGTATTTGATAGGATCCGGCAGTGAGTGCCGTGCTGTGTGTACACAGAACGGAAACGTGGAGCAGTTAAAGCGCCTGATATATTCAAGGACACACACTTAAACAAAATGTACAGCAATTTCACAGTGAATGTACAGGCTGTGAAAATTAACAGAATAAATACAAATAGTATCAAAAACTATTTACAAAATAAGTTTGTCATGCCATCTCCACAATTTGCTAGTTGTTATCATTGCCATCTCCTCAGTTCAATAACCTAATCTATCTCGCCTATTGTCTCTGTTTCCTCCAGTGCTTACACTTCAGTCCATTCACAATCTTCACTACCAAACAATAGACTAAATTATCTGTATATTACTTTGTTCTGAAATTTTATTCATATTAGCATTAGAATTTTATCCTTATTATCCTTATCATTCCCCACATTGCAACTAACTGATCTCCAGTCTGGTAATGTGATGGCTGCTGGTATTCAGAAACCCTGCTGCCCTGAAACAAACGTTTCCATTCAAATCCCAAAACATACAATCTCACAACCAACTGCCAACTGACTAGAATAAGACAGTCGAATGGCTTGACACAAATTCAGTGGACACTACCGAAAAATTGTAACCGTACCCAAAGAACAAGAATCGTGAGCAAAAAAATCGATTGGTTTATACAAGCCCGTGAAAAAGTTATTGGATCATCTTCCTCTTTGACCAGCTGTACCTGATGCGGCTTGAAACTTGCTAGTTGTTATCACTGCCATCTCCTCAGATCTATGACTTATTCTATCTAGCTAAATAATCCCGCTTTTCATTCTTCGCTCACACACCTCTCCTCTTACACATTCTTCACTACCGAATTATGAAATTTGCTTATACAAGCACGTGAAGAGTGTATTGGATATTGGACTGAGGTCGCTCGCTCTATGAAGTGTTGCGTTACCAATATCTTCATGTTTTCCAAATTATAATGTTTGCAGCATTGGTTGCTGGAAGACCAGTACGTTTAGTTTTCGTTCACAATGAAATTTAGGTACAAACCAATTTTAATTTGGTATCGGAGTCACAGTTTCTACTGGACGTACCACCCTTGAATGATGTCAATCATATTGTCGTGTTTCTAACGGGGCAAACTGCCTTTCCACCAAATATGGGTGGTGGGGGTAAGTAAATGTAGTTTTTGAAGTAAATTTGCTTAGTCTATCTTGGGATTCAGCAAAACGGGGTTCCAAACTGGTACTTTCTTGGTATTCTAACGAATGAGAAGCCTAGTGCGATATACAAAGTTGGGAAACTTACAAAAAGTATGCTTTTTTTCTTTGACGTTGTTTTATAACTTTGCGTTCAGTAATTCCGGAAATAGTTTGTTGGCTTTTTTATTTCATGATATTTTTTTGTTTATTTGTGATACATTGCTATTAAACAATTATGCAGTAAGCATCCTGTTATAAAAAATCTTTACCAAAAGGTGTAGTTGTTTGGCTTTTCGTTATTTTAAGGAGCATCGAGTTCATTCACTTATCATGAAAACTAATTTAATCGTTTCCCCTCACCATTAAGTGAAATATTGACTAAATAATCACACATAACCTTCATTAAAACAGCTCAAACGACCCAAGTGCGATGTGTATTTGAAAACTGTATGGTGCATAATTTGTCCGGAAATTCATTTAGAATAAACTTGATAAATTATTTAATAGAGTTGTACATTCGTTAAGGTTAGTCATAGATATGTTCTGGTGTAAATGAATACATATCTCTGGATAATGTTGGTATCTCTAATTCAACGACTAAAGACCGACAGATTGGACAAGATCTCAAGTACAAGTGTTCGTAAATATGTAGTTAAGCATCTGAACGGCATAACATGTTTAGCAGTGATGAACTGAATCAAAATACAATATGAGTGAGTTGACACAAAAGTTATATTAGATTCAGTCAGTCAGTTGCAACGTAGAACTTCGTACGTATGTACATAAGTTCATGTTGCCATACCACATTATTAGCACAGAGACGCAAATGTCAAATCAAATCCCATAGTGATAAAGATGGTAGAGGTATTAATGTTATAATAAAGAAGACTAGGGTTTAAGATATTATTCAAAAAATATAACTCAGTGAGATAATATTAGAAAGACAAAGGTAGAGGTGCTGGCTAATCCAGAAGATTAGGATTTCAGAGAGCTCAAAGAGTGGATGCACCTGCGCCACTGCAAACGACTTTGAGCCATGTCGTTCAAGGTCTCTAACCATTGATGACTTTCGTCTCGCGGACCCCAACCAGGTAGTCTACATCTACCAACATGACTCAGTCCACTAGTCAGTGACTTCATGGATTTCTGCCATGTTTTGGTCTGGCCGCCCCTAACTTTCTTCCAACCTACTCCTACACCACAAAACATAGCTCGTCGAGGCAATCGGTGGTTAGCCATACGTAACACATGTCCCAACCACCTCAACTGATGAAGTTTCACCACTTCATCGATTGATCTGCAATCCTTACCTAGTACTCGTTTCCTAACGGCAGCATTGCTTACTCGGCTGTCCCACGATATACGAGCAATGCTTCTTAAACATCTATGATCGAATACTAGTAACCTACGAACATCTACTCTTAACGGCCATGTTTCACAGCCATATAAGAGAACGGAACGAACTGCTGCGCAGTACACCCGCCCTTTGGTTAGCGAACGGATATCACGCCTACGCCATAAGTGACGCAGGTTGGCAAAAGCCAATCGAGCTTTCTGTATCCGAGCTGAGATTTCGTCAGTCACCAGACCGTCAGCACTGATGAGACTCCCCAGATAAGTGAAGTGATCTACACGTTCGACTACTTCACTCCCTATCACTAGTTCAGGTGCCGAAGCAACCCAGTCTTGAAGCAACATTTTGCATTTCGAGGGTGAGAACCGCATCCCGAACATGCTCGCATTGTTGCTTATGGTAGTCAGAAGACTCTGCATTTTGTCAGCGTCTTCACCGAATAGAACTATGTCATCGGCATATTCTAGATCAGTAAGCGACTTTCCTGGTAGAAGGTCAACCCCTGAAAAATCTGACGAGCTTAATGTTAACTCTAAGAGGATGTCTACGACAAAGTTGAACAAGAATGGAGAGAGTGGACAGCCCTGACGGACACCACTTGATGTAGAGAATTCAGATGACAGTTCGCCATATGCTCTCACCCGACCAGTGGTGTTCGAGTAGAGTGCTTGTATAAGGTTAATGTACTTCTTTGGTACACCTTTCAATGACAGACACTGCCACAGAACCTCACGATCCACTGAGTCGAATGCCGCCTTAAGGTCCAGGAACACGACTATTGTCGGACGTCTAAATGTGTGTCTATGTTCCAGGACCTGTCGTAGTGTGAAGATGTGGTCTATACAACCACGTCCAGGTCGAAAACCAGATTGGTTTTCTCGAGTCTGCTCTTCGCGAGCTCTAGTTAGACGTCTAAGTATAATCGAGGCTAACAATTTAGAAACTATATTAGTTAAACTTATTCCCCTGTGATTGTCACAAGAGGACTTCTGTCCTTTCTTGTAGATTGGGACAATTAGCGACTGAGACCAGTCAGATGGGATTACATCCAGTTCCCAGATTCTACATAGGATCTCGGTCAGTTTAACCGTTAAAACTGGACCACCATCCTTGAACATCTCAGGGGTGAGCCTATCGGGACCTGCCGCTCTACCTCTCCTTAGATTTCCTATAGCTTTCTCAACTTCATTTAAACTGGGAGGACTTAAATCGATTTGCCATTCAGGATAACTGGAGATCGTGGGCAACCGAAGAGTGGCTGAAGGCCAGTTGAACTGATCCCTAAAGTGTTCTGCCCATCGGTCCAGCCTCCTAGATTGAGAATGGATAATAAGACCATCCTTTTCCGAGATAGTCTCACTTACATTCGGGTTCCTAATACCGGTTTCTTTGATAAGGCGGAAAAGTTGTCTAGTGTTGCCTATCGCCACTGCCTTTTCCATCGCTTTTGCTTTCGCCACCCACCACTGTTCACGGTCGTTACGTAGGCTTTTTATAAGTCTGCACCTAAGCTGACTACGCTCTTCATCATGTTCAGAGTCAGGTGGGATGCGTTTTCGAGCATCCATCAGTTCGGTGGATGCGACTGAAATCCACTGCTTCATCCTAGCATGGTGGTTTACCTTGCTAGCAGATACCATTGCTGTTTCCACAGCCTTCTTGATATGATTCCAACCTGCTTCAGGATGGGAATCACTTGCATGGCCGCTTAACTGTTTTTCTAGTTCCTCCTGAAATATTTTCTTAGCTTGATTATCATCAAGTGAAGCCCTAAGAGGCTTGCTTACGGTGTCTTTCCTACGTCCAGCAAGCCTCAAACAAATACGTGCTCGCACTAGGGCATGATCTGAATCTAAACATGTGCCCCAGAACGAGCGACAGTCCTCTATCGAACCCCTCCATCGGTGGCTGATGGCGATGTGATCTAGTTGTGTCCAACGTTGAGACGACTTCGGGGGTCGCCAGGTCAAAAGGTGTTTTTCCTTATGCTTAAAATTAGTGTTTGCTAGAAATAGTTGGTTATCTGAGCACAGTTGCAACAGACGGTCGCCATTGTCTGTTCTTTGAGCCGCGAGACCGTAACATCCACCTAGGTGTCTTTCATTTTCACTTAGTCTACCTACTTGTGCATTGAAGTCACCAGCCATTATAACTATATCAGAGCGCTTAACTTTTTGGAGGAGGTCCGAAAGCTTTCTGTAAAACTCATCTTTTACATCATCTGGGCTGCAGTCAGTGGGGGCGTAGGCTGATATGACGAAGAGGCAACGGCGAGTGTCCCTATCTTTTCGAGTCCTTACTGTCCCGTTGAGTCGGACGGCGCACAAGCGACTATCTACAGGGATCCAGTCAAGGAGAGATTGTTCTGCCCTACGACTCAATGCTATACCTACACCGGCGAGGCCCCTAGAAGCAGCATCAGGGCTACCGGATACACGTAGGGTAAATCGAGCTGCTTCTTTATCTTGACATGGTGAGGTCAAATGAGTGATGCTACTCGGATCCTGTATGCGCGTTTCCGAGACGCAGCACACATCGATGGAACGAGATTCTAAAGTTCTAGCTAATGATGCCTGTTGCCCTATTTGACACAATGTCCGTACATTGAATGCTCCAACATGTAGTTTGGAACGGGGTTTAAGGAGACCAGGAACGACGTTTCGCAAACTCGCATCGTTTGCATTAGCTGTGCACTGTAATAAATGAATGTGAGAAGAGTTAGTTGTGGAGATAAGAGAGGTATGTGTGGGTGTAGGAAGGATTTGATTTTGACCAATTTCGTCTCGTGTGCTGTTATGGGTATGAGGGCGGTTATCACTTCCCGGCTGCCCACACCGTGGAAGGTTGTTTCTTGACGAACCTGAAAAGGAAGATGGATTAGTGTTGGTGCGTGACCGCAGAGTCCATGGGACAACTGCTTGAGGCCGGTCACGCACGGCCTTTTTATGAGAGGTATTTAGAGGATTAGCTCCGTTCTTAAAGGCCCTTAGTGGGCACCCTTACCCAAGGAGACGGAAATCCGTGAGTTAGGGGAGGTGTGACATTTTTAGGGCCAACCTTTTCTAACCCTTCCTTCCTTGTGAGAAGGCAGCATCGCTGCAGATGCTGGTTGTCCGAGGGAAACACCTTACTGCTGTCACACCCCTCTGCAGTCAGCAGTACGACTTCGCCCTCAGACCTTGGGTAGCTGCTTTTAGTCTCATCGTTCTCCAATCGACCTGCCTGGCATGGTAGGACCTGCAGGAACATGTGTTCCAGCCAGTATAGCTCGGTTGGGTCATCACGATAGGCAAGCCCGACCACCACGTCAAGGTAGCAGCTTCGGTCGGGAGTTATATTAGATTAAAATAGGCACTGGTCCTAGAACCGTCGGCAAATGTCTAAAAGTAAAACAGCCCTGGGGATTAAACTGCGAGCGATTTCACTGTAATAAAATGATCTCAGGATAAAATTAAACAGCTCTAGTGTGCATTGTACTAAAATGAGTCCAAAGTATCACTAAATCGACGACATGTCTCAAATAATAATGGAACTCGATTCACAGGCAGATAAATAGTCACGCGAACAAAAGCAGTTTAAAAGGATATGTATATAAGATGTTCAACTTAATTACAACTGAGCAAAAATTAACCGAAAGAGTAAAGTAATGAATTGGAGCCACATGTTTTATCAGATGTTGTATTCCGAAATAAGCATAGAGTTGCTTGGATTTAACATGTCTTTATTGACTAAAAGCAGCAACTCAAGGTCTGAGGACGAAGTTGTACTGCTAAGTGTCGAGTGGTGACAGCAGTAAAGTGTTCCACTTGGACAACCGGCATCTGCGGCGATGCTGCCTTCTCATAACAGAGGGAAGGGGTTGGAAAAAGTTGACTCTAAAAGTGTGGAGGCAACCGGGAAGTGACATCCGCCCCTATACTTGTAATAGCACACGATAACAAACTAGTAGAATCGAAAATCGACAGCGTATGTTAGATACGTAAGGTAGAAAAGATTTAAAAAAAACTAGTAATACATGATGAATTAGAGTGACTTGATTTTTGTGGTATTTGTGTATAATGCCAACCGCTCTTCCGTATTCAATACATCAATTTCTGCTGCTCCTCATATCTCTGTATTAATAAACTTACCATTTTATCTAATGGTTAATGATTAATTGTTAATGGTTTTCCGAACATGCATTGTTGCTTAGGGTAGTCAGAAGACTCTGCATTTTGTCAGCGTCAGAGTCTTCTGACCAACCTAAGCAACAATGCAAGCATGTTCGGAATGCGGTTCTCACCCTCGAAATGCAAAATGTTGCTTCAAGATTGGGTTGCATCGGCACCTGAACTAGTGATAAGGAGTGAAGTAGTCGAGTGTGTTGATCGCTTCACTTATCTGGGGAGTCTCATCAGCGCTGATAGCCTGATGACTGACGAAGTCTCAGCACGGATACAGAAGGTTCGATTAGATTTTACCAACCTGCATCACTTATGTTGTAGACGAACTATCCGTTTGCTGACTAAAGGATGAGTGTACTGCGCAGTGGTTCGCTCCGTCTTTATGGCTGTGAAACATGGCCAATGAGCGTAGAAGATATTCGTAGGTTATTGGTTTTCGATCATAGGTGTCTTCAAAGCATTGCTTACCACCGACTGCTTCGACGAGAGATGTTTTGTGGTGTTGGAGTAGGTTGGAAGAAAGTTAGGGGCGGCCAGACCAAAACATAGCAGAAATCCATGAAGTCACTGACAACTGGACTGAGTCATGGAAGTAGGTATAGACTACCTGGTTGGAGTCCGCGAGACAACAGTAACCAATGGTTAGAGACCTTGAACGACATGTCTCAAAATCGTTTGCAATGGCGCAAGTGTATCCACTCTTTGTTTTCTTTCAAATCCTAATCTTCTGGAATCGTCAACACCTCTACCTTTGTCTTTCTAACCTTATCTCACTGAATTATACTTCTTGAATAATATCTTCAAACCCTTTAGTCTTCTTCATTACCATTAATACCTCTACTATCTTTATCACTGTGGGATTTGATTTGACATTTGCGTCTCTGTGCTAATAATGTGGTATGGTGGCAACATGAACTTATTATGTACATACGTACGAAGTTCTACGTTGCAACTGACTGACTGACTGATTGACTGTTCATGGTTTTCAACAATTTACTCGTTTCATTTTCAATAGAAACAATGACAAAAATATATAAATTTTCAATTCTTGTTTATATCCTACTCAATCAGATGCACAACTTCAAAATGGGATTCATCCATTTGGCGTCAATGCATCGTTTCAATGTTCCAATGGTATTGTACCTGCTCAAATTGGAATTTCTGTTGATCTGTTAACAAATCTTCCACAACAAACAGAAGAAACTGTTCAATCAACAATTTCAGAGGATAGTATGACTCAATTTACACGATTTGCAGCAGAAAGTTTATTTAATTATGTAACTAGTTTTGCACGAGATGATAATTCATCAACCTCAGATCCACTTGTACCAATATCAGCTATAAAAAAATGGTTTGATACAATGTTACAGAAACTTTCACTTGATGCAACATTTTGGAGAAAGTAACACAAACAACATGCCAGTAAACACTGCTTTGAATTGTTTTTCTTTTTTGAACAATAATCCTATTTTATGCAATTTTTGTTCCAATTAACTTATTCCATCTCATAACAAAATGTATTTTAAGGAACATGCACTGTAAGTAAGCTGAAAAATGAGACTCTGTTACTTTTGTTATATCATAATTTAACTGGTAAACTGTTATAATGCTGCTACGTATAGCTATTCAAATCCTAGCGGCGTCCAAATTCAAATATCCCAATACAACCCAAAATACTATTTCCAAATCTCCTAGATATCAGGACGCAACACCGTGGGATGGAGTTGTTTATTGGGTCGAGTACAGAAGAGAGGTAGGCAGGAAGAAACGGAATTATTCAATCTTACAGTTAGTGCGTATTTATACATTAAGGTCGAATAGGAAAGAGCATCAAAGTCTGTGACATTGACAGTTTAGGACGACCAATAGGAAAGAACATTTGAAATGACATTGACAGTCCGGATGACCAATCAGAGACAACATTGAAGTATTTTAAACTTTGACAGTGAAAACGACCATAATTTTGACCAATAGAAATCGACCAATAGGATTATACTTACAAAAATAGTAGTACTCTTAGGATATTTGGTGAATATCCTAACATAAACATACTACTCTCTGTAATTATTTGTTTTAAACTAGGACAACATATAAGCGAACATTGTTTTTAATTGGATCGTCATCAGGCTTTTTACGATCATTTATATATTTATTTATTTGAGTTTATGAACACATTAAGTCAGTGATCATTATGTTGGGGATGTTAGATCCCCCTAGATATTCATAGGTTACTGGTTTTCGATCATAGGTGTCTTCGAAGCATTCCTCGTATATCGTGGGACACCCAAGTGAGCAAAGCTGTTACTAGAAAGCGGGTGCTAGGTAAGAATGACAGATCAATAGATGAAGTGCTTAAACTTGATCAGTTGAGGTAGTTGGGACATATGTTGCGTATGCCTAACCACCGACTGCCTCGTCGAGCTTTGTTTTGTAGTGTAGGAGTAGGTTGGAAGAAAGTTAGGGGCGGCCAAACGAAAACATGACAGAAATCCATGAAGTCATTGACGAGTGGACTGAACCATGTCGGTAGTTGTCGACTACCTGGTTGGGGTCCGCGAGATGATAATAATCGATGGTTAGAGACCTTGAATGACATGGCTCAAAAACTTTCTCATTGGCGCCGGTGCATTTATTCTTTGTGTTCTCTCAAATCCTAATCTTCTGGATTCTTCAACAACTCTAGTTTTGTCTTTCTAAACTTTTCTCACTGAATCATACTTCTTGAATAATATCTTCTAATCCTAACCTCTCTGATTACTTCTAATACCTTTACTACCTCTTCTACTATTGGATTTGAATTGACAATTACATCTCTGTGCTGATGTTGTATGGCAACATGAACTGATGTACTTACGTACGAAGTTCTACGTTGCATCTGACTGACTGGTAGATCTCCAGAATTCACTGCTAATTTTGGATGTCATGTTTTCGCACATAGGCTGATCAGTTGACCTTTAGATTGCATTTCTGTTGTAACGCTTGCTTGAATATTTCCCGGCTAATTCCCATTGCTAAGTATTCTCTGACCACAATACACTGGACAAGTTCCAAAGAATCAAAAACACGGCGGAACAAGAAAAGATTATATTCCAAATAGTAAGGTAAATGGAAATAAGAAGGCGAAGGCAAAAATAGATACAATGTTAGTTTCTTTATAGCATTTACATGGGAAGCTTCTGGATTGTAATTCATGTGGTCGACTGGATTACATTTAGCCAATCAGCATGCAGCTAACAACACGAGAGTTTTCTACCCTGTTCTCCAAGAGTCGATCAGGCGCTGATTGGATAGGAAATTAGCCAATCAGCGCGCAAAAACGTCATGCTTTAATTCCGTACATGTCCCACTAACAATTTCCCACCCGAAAATTCCTTGACTGTTATTCGTTGGTGTATTATTTTAGTATGATATTTTTGTGACTCTCCCAACGACATTTCTGTGATGTATAAAGTAATCTAGATTTGTTTGCTTGTGAACCTGATATTTTCTGGGGGCTTGTAGAATATACTTTCTACGTCTGGTCATGATTTCTTACTTCAGTTAGCAAGGCCGAGGACAAACGGATTAGAATAGCCTATCGTGTCACTGGATCATTTGTTTCGCTCCGTTTACCGAGTAAGGTAAAGTAATAGCATTCAAGCGTATCAGTTGACGAGTATGTCAATAAGCGAACATTGTTTTTAAGTAGATCGTCATCAGACTTTTGTTATACTCGTCAATTGATATGCTTGAACCTACTAAGAGTTCATCTTAGTTGGTAAATGAGAGCTAAGACAAATGATGCAGTTTATGAAAACAATAAGTCAGTGATCTCTATGAAATCGATTGCACAATTACAAGCGAGTGATAAAAAGCTGTTGTACTTTTAGTGAAAAGAACAATAAAAGTCCTAGTTAATAGTTCAACCTTGAATTAATGATCACAAAACAGAATCGTTAAAGTTCTGTAAACAATCAGATTATGTAGGAAAAATTTATCAAAGTTATTGCTAACCCGCTGATCATGCCCGACTAAGGAAGAGACACTGGTGTCATGAATTAATTCCATCTGAATACATAAACTGGGCTTTTAAGTTCGAATCCTTGTGGATTCTGCTAAATATAGGAGATGGGAATTAGCCTCATTCAGGAACAGCGAATCTATACACTCGATCACTACCATATATATATATATATATATGCCACACATTAAAATAGGGTTGTAGTGAAATGAACAGAGGTTAAATGTAAGAATAGATCACGATTAGAGACGTTTCAATGTTAATAAAACAACCAAACGGTGAGTAAAGTCCCTTGTCGTTTCGCCAAACGTCTCACTTACGTTCATTGAGTCTCTACCGGTTCCTTGCAACTCGTTGAAGCACGTCGGTCTGCTCCGAGTAACTGCAACTATGACGATAAATGGAGATTGTTACGTATGGAAATAGTGCAAAGTTTGCGTAAGAACTGGGAAACCTAGTGACCAGAACATGCTAGCGAGTTAAAAGCAGCTGGTGTGTATGATAACTGCCGAAAGCTCTGTCAACCCATCGGAACCACTGGCAGCAAGAGATCTGGTTTGAGTGAAACAACCTGTGGAGCTGATAAAACGTCGATCAGTAACATTCACCGACGTTTTGGACGATAGACAGTTCTTCGAATAACACTTCAGCTGGCCTGTTGCCTCGGTGGCGTTGTTCGGAATTTCCTGTTCTCCACGGCCGGCAACCACTGATCCATCTAACGAGACGAAATTTCGAAAAGGACCCCAACTTTTGAAGTGCTAAAAATCACTAGGCTCAGATGACTTACCACCGGCCCTTTTTAAAATTGGTGGCGACATGACTGTAATACTGGCTGAGTTGTCTCAACCTGTTAGCAATTACAGTGTTCCAGCGTCCTAGAACTGGTCGACAATTGTCCCTATCTTTAAAAAGGGTTCACGTCATTTATGTAACAATTATTGGAGTATAAGTCTACTACTGACTGCTTCCAAATTACTGGCTTCCGCCTTACTTCGCAGAATTTTTAAAACCCGAGATTCCTAAGCTATGTGATCTGTACTTAGTCAATGTCCGTAGGTATGGTATGTGTTTGCACCTTCTAAATGCAAAGTATCTTGACAAGACTGGCAAGACGCTGAATGTGCACTCACTTTGGTAGTGAGTAGATATTAGTCGAAAAGTTCGTGTATCTAGGTGTGACGGTGACGACGCTAGCGATGAGATCAACTCACGCGTAGTGTAAACCAGAGTGGTTTATGTAAATCTGGGCCATCTTTGGCACCTTCGTGATGTTAGTCTGGTTGTAAAAGATCGGGTCTACAATTCATCGGTGAGAACAAGATATTAGGCAACTCTGTGTTCGGTCGTCGTTGTCTCCGAAGGATTGCCGATATCCAATGGCAACATCATATCAGCGATGCAGAGGGTCGGCAATGTGTGCTCGGGTACAGCAGTGATGAATCAGTTGATGTCACCATCTTGAAACACCAACTTCGGTGACTTGAATATGTACTACAAATGGGCGAAGCCGTACTGCTAACCTCGGGGAACCAGCATCTGCAGCGATGCCGCCTGGGTACAACGGGAGGAAGAAACTGGGAAAGGTCGACCCTAAAAGTGTCACACTTAACATTGCTCCACGGATTTTCGTCTCTGATGGTAAAGCCTTTCGAAGAACTGAGCTAACACGTCAATAACTTCCCATAAACAGGCCGTGTGTGACCGGATGCAAGCAGTTTTTCTTTGGGCTCTACGGTCACGCTACTAGCTCGCTAAGACCAAAGCTAATCCAATTTCCTTCTCAGGTTCCTAAAGCAGAAACACCCACAGTGTGGGCAACCGGAAGGTGATATATACTCTTATACTAGTAACATCTGACTGGTTCTATCAACTACTCGATTTAAATATTTCAAAAAATGAATGCACTCAAAGTATCATCAGTTTATTCACGTTAACAGTTTGTTTCCCACAGTTGTATTTTAAAAAAAAACTTACTATCATTGATTGTTAGGATATTCATCCAATATCCAAAGTCTAGTTCTATTGGTTAATTCCTATTTGTCGTCCTGACTATCAATGTCACATACTTCAATGTTGTTTCCTATTCGACGTAACTGTATAAATACGCATTATCTGTAACATTTCATGACCCGGATCCCTAATCGTCTTCTGGACTCGAGCCTCATACTTTCTGGATGCTTGTAGAATACACGTTCTACTTCATATGATGTCTTCTCAATGGGGGATTGGGACAATCGGATTAGACGCAGCGTATCGTATCGTCGGATCATCGATCCTCACTCTCGTTTACTGACTAACGTGAACTCGTAATAGTTCAAGCATATCAAATGACACCCGACCGAAGCTGCTATCTTGACGTGGTGGTCGGGCTTGCCTATCGTGATGACCCAACCGAGCTATATTGACTGGAACATATGTTCCTGAAGGTTCTACCATGCCAGGCAGGTCGATTGGAGAACGATGAGACTAAAAGCAGCTACCCAAGGTCTGAGGGCGAAGTCATACTGCTGACTGCAGAAGGGTGTGACAGTAGTAAGGTGTTTCCCTCGGACAACCAGCATCTGCAACGATGCTGCCTTCTCACAAGGAAGGAAGGGTTAGAAAACGTCGACCCTAAAATTGTCACACCTCCCCTACCTCACGGGCTTCCGTCTCCTTGGGTAAGGGTGTCCAGTAAGGGCCTTTAAGAGTGGAGCTAATGCTCGAATAACCTTTCATAAAAAGGCCGTGCGTGACCGGCCTCAAGCAGTTGTCCCTTGGACTCTGTGGTCACGCTCCCAGGTCTCTAAGACCAACACTAATCTACCTTCCTTTTCAGGTTCCTCCAGAAACAATCTTCCACGGTGTGGGCAGTCGGGAAGTGACAACCGCCCTCATACCCATAACAACAGCACACGAGACCAAATTGGTCAAAATCAAATCCTGACTGACTCATATCAAATGATGACATGTTTACATGCATCCGTGCAAAACATTTAAAAAAAATCTTTATTCACATAGATTCAACAGTGAAGAAACTGTATAGAGTAATTAATTCTAATCATTTTCTTCAATTATCTATCAATCAAGAAATCATGTATATAAGAAAAAAATGGTGGACATTCCTGTTTTATCATGAGTTTTTGACAATTATATAAAGCAAACTCCTCAAGATAAAAACAGACACTGATTGATCTGTGTGTTGTTGTGTAAAAGAGAGAGTGTGTGAGTCGTTGATACCATTGAACGTGTTGAGCACTACTATATAAAAGTTATTGATTTTTTTTTGGGGGGGGGGGTGAATTCGACACACAAAACTTGACAAAGTTATTTTGTTCAACATTCATTACGTGATCTACTCTTTTCTTTAAAAAAAAACAAACGAAATTATCATCCTAATTCTTGTTTTAAACAATCGACAATATCATTCACTTCAGCCATTGCACCAATCCCAGTCTCTCCACACATTAATAATTTTTCAATTGGATGAATACATTTCCAATGAAGTTTATTAATTAATCGTTCAATTTGTTCACATGTAAATGGATGTTGCCACATTTGTGTATTCATAGCAGGTGCAAAATATACTGGTTTATGATTTCGGTCAAAAGGAGACCATGCACGTGCAAGTGTTGTTAATAAATTATCAGCTAAGCCATTAGCTATTTTACCCAAGGTATTTGCAGTTAATGGTGCTAATAACAAGATATCTGCCCAATTTCTAAGCTAAAAAAAGAAATAATTATTAGAAATTATTCATGAATCATTGTTAGTGTTACGAATGTCTGAGGGCGAAGTCGTACTGCTGACTGCAGAGGGGTGTGATAGCAGTAAGGTGTTTCCCTCGGATAACCAGCATCTGCAGCGATGCTGCCTTCTCACAAGGAAGGAACGGTTAGAAAAGGTAAACCTTAAAAATGTCACATCTCACCTTACCTCACGGATTTCCGTTACCGGCGGTAAGGGTGCCCACTAAGGGCCTTTAAGAGCGGAGCTAACACTCAAAAATCCTTTCATGAAAAGGCCGTGCGTGACCGGCCTCAAGCAGTTGTCCCTTGGGCTCTGCGGACACGCTCCCAGTTCTCTAAGACCAACACTAATCTAACTTCCTTTTCAGGTCCCTCAAGAAACGTGTTTCCACGGTGTGGGCAGCCGGGAAGTGATAACCGCCCTCATACCCGTAACAGCACACGAGACCGAATTGGTCAAAATCAAATCCTTCCTACACCCACACATACCTCTCTTATCTCCACGACTAACTCTTCTCACATTCCTTTATCACACTGACTACGAATGTTATATGTGACCGCATCGATTTGATACGTTTTCAACTATTTATTGTGAGTTCATGTTAGTCGGTGTGAATGAGAGCGGGGGATCAGTCAGTCAGTCAGATGCAACGTAGAACTTTGTACGTAAGTACGTAAGTACATCATACCTTATCAGCACAGACATATAATTGTCAATTCAAATCCAATAGTAGAAGAGATAGTAAAGGTATTAGAAGTAATCGGAGAGGTTAGCATTAGAAGATATTATTCAAGAAGTATGATTCAGTGAGAAAAGTTTAGAAAGACAAAACTAGAGGTGTTGAAGAATCCAGAAGATTAGGATTTGAGAGAACACAAAGAATAAATGCACCGGCGCCATTACAAACGGTTTAGAGTCATGTCATTCAGGATCTCTAACCATCGATTGTTATCATCTCGCGGACCCCAACAGGTAGTCGACAATTACTGATATGGCTTAGTCCACTCGTCAATGACTTCATGGATTTCTGCCATGTTTTGGTATGGCCGCCTCTTGCTTTCTTCTAACCTACTCCTACACTACAAAACAAAGTTCGTCGAGGCAGTCGGTGGTTAGGCATACGCAGCACATGTCCCAACCACCTCAACTGATCAAGTTTAAGCACTTCATCTATTGATCTGTCATTCTTACCTAGCACCCGCTTTCTAGTAACAGCGTTGCTCACTTGCGTGTCCCACGATATACGAGCAATGCTTCGAAGACACCTATGATCGGAAACCAGTAACCTACGAGCATCTTCTACTCTCACTGGCCATGTTTCTCAGCCATAAAGTAAGACGGAGCGAACTACTGCACAGTACACTCGTCCTTCAGTCAGCAAACGGATATCTCACTTGTATAAATATACATTATCTGTAACGTTTTATGATCCGGATCCCTAATCGTCTTCTGTACTCGAGCCTCATACTTTCTGGATGCTTGTAGAATACACGTTCTACTTCATATCAATTCATCTGTTCAATGGGGGGTTGGGACACTCGGATTAGATGCAGCGTATCGTATCGTCGGATCATCGATCCCCGCTCTTGGTTTTCGATCATAGATGTCTTCGAAGCATTTCTCGTATATCCTGGGACACCCGAGTGAGCAATGCTGTTATTAGGAAACGGATGCTAGGTAAGAATGGCAGATCAATAGATGAAGTGGTGAAACTCCATCAGTTGAGGTGGTTGGGACATGTGTTGCGTATGCCCAACCACCGACTGTCTCGAAGAGCTTTGTTTTGAAGTGTAGGAGTAGGTTAGAAGAAAGCAAGGGGCGGCCATACCGAAACATGGCAGAAATCCATGAAGTCATTGACGAGTGAACTTAGCCATGTCGGTAGTTGTCGACTACCTGGTTGGGGTCCGCGAGATGATAACAATCGATGGTTAGAGACCTTGAACGACATGGCTCAAAATCGTTTGCAATGGCGCAACTGTATACACTCTTTGTGTTCTATGAAATTTTAAGCTTATGCATTCCTCATAATCTCTACCTTTCTCCTTCTAAATTTATCTTACTGAATTATAGTTCTCGAATCATATCTTCGCTCCCTAATCTTCTCCATTACTGCTAATAATTTTATTATTGCTATCACTGTTGGATTTGAACTGACAGCTGCGTCTATGTGCTAATGGTGCATGGCAACCTGAACTGATGTACTTACGTACGAAGTTCTGCGTTGTATCTGTCTATTTATACAGTTAGGCCGAATCAAAAACAACAGTGAAGTATGTGACTTTGATAGCTAGGACCATCAATAGGAATTGACCAACAGAATTAGGATTTCGGATGAATATCCTAACAGTTAGACAGACCACCAGTAAAAACCTGAAAGCACTGGACATCAGTTTCGTTCTGGTATGGGACTCATCAGTGGCAGTGCGCATTCACGACTCTTGCAACTCGCAGGATTCGAACCCAGGACGTTCGATCTTGCGCGCGAACGCCTAACCTCTGGCCGGCATCCAACGGTGTTAATGTCTAACCCTGATCAATGTTGGGATTTTACGTGAGTTCATCCATTTGTCTTTAGTAATTACTGCCTATCTACCTACACTCGACAGGGTTGAACTCCACTAATCATGTCTTCTTACCCTAGAACACTCCGAGAATTTCTCTCACGAAGGTAGTCGCTACCTAGTGAGCAGCACATTGATGATATCAATATATATGTAAAAATCACTAATTGAATCAAAAAAAATTATTAGCCATATCAGTAATAATCATACCTCAATATGTAAGACAGGATCACCACGTTCTTTCCAACTGGTCCATTCATCTACATCTCTATACACTGGTACATTGATAGTGTCTAATGAAAAAAATTTCAATGAATTGTCTGTACAAACTAGACGAATTTGAAAACCGATTTCTTGAAGTTTTTCCACTAAATATGGTATTTTAATTGCAGCTACACTGCCAGTAACACCAAGAATTAATTTATTTCTTGATAATAATAATTTATTTTCATTCATTATTGACTAATAAAATAGAAATAAAAAGATAATTTAATTGTTTTCATTTGCCCTGCCCCAAAAAAATAAAACATCATTTATATACACCTACTACTTCTTAAAGCTGTACAAAGCGTCTGTGTACAAAAAAAATTATGAACTGTAATAACTATCTATCATCCACAATGTATTACCACCTCGAAGGTACTGTACTAGTGTAGTGAACGAGAACACAGGTGAGGGCAACCGAATTGTATTTAAACGAAAATTACAGAGTTACTCAGTAAAATCGGGAAACCATATCGTAAATTGGTAATTTGCAAAATATCAGTTCATCATATCGAACTGGACTGTTCCTGTTGCAAAACATCAATCCATTATCACTACTATTCATGCGTTTCATACAAATTCCATTGTGTTCTAACTCTTCCTTTCTTGATCTTCCCCCATCTTCTGCTGCCGGACATTACGTTGACACTCGAGTCATATAGTACTTATAAGTAGCGCGCACCACAATATAACTATTGCGTCATATTGACTATTTTATTCGATCAATTCTTTTCATAAGAATTTGTGACCTTCAGAAAAATGTACGTTTTGTAATTGTAAACGTATGCTCCTTGTATATCTGTCAGTTATTATCTTATCAATTGTCTCACTCTATCATACTTGGCATTATCTATTTTCAGCTATGATAACCATTCTTGTTTAACTTTGTGGTTGACATCCTCTTAGAGTTAACATTAAGCTCGTCAGATTTTTCAGGGGTTGACCTTCTACCAGGAAATCCGCTTACTGATCTAGAATATGCCGATGACATAGTTCTATTCGGTGAAGACGCTGACAAAATGCAGTCTTCTGATCACCCTAAGCAACAATGAAAGAATGTTCGGGAATCGGTTTCCACCCCCGCCCGAAATGCGAAATTTCGCTTCAATTCTGGGTTGCATCGGCACCTGAACTAGTGATAGGGAGTGAAGTAGTCGAGTGTGTTGATCACTTCACGTATCTTGGGAGTCTCATTAGCGCTGGTAGCCTGAAGACTGACGAAATCTCAGCACGGATACAGAAAGCTCGGTTTGCTTTTGCCAATTTACGCCATTTATGGCGTAGGCGAGAGATATCAGTTTGCTGACTAAAAGACGAGTGTACTGCGCAGATGTTCGCTCCGTCCTACTGTACGGATGCGAAACATGGCCATTAAGAGTAGAGGACTTTCGTACGTTACTGGTCTTCGATCATCGATGTCTCCAAGGCATTGCTCGTGTATCCTGGGACAACCGAGTAAGTAATGCTGTCGTTAGTAAACGAGTACTAGGTAGGGATGGCAAATCAATAGATGAAGTAGTGAAACTCCCCCCATCAGTAGAGGTGGTTGGGACATGTGTTACGAATGCCTAACCACCGACTGCCTCGACGAGCTATGTTTTCTGGTGTAGGTGTAGATTGGAAGAAAGTTAGGGGCGGCCAAACCAAAACATGACACAAATCCATGAAGTCACTGACAAGTGGACTGAGTCATGTTGGTAGATGTAGACTACCTGGTTGAGGTCCGTGAGACGAAAGTCACCGATGGTTAGAGACCTTAAACGACATGGCTCAAAATCGTTTGCAATGGCGCAAGTGCATCCATTCGTTGTGCTCTCTCAAATCCTAATCTTCTGGATTCGTCAACACCTCTACCTTTGTCTTTCTAAACTTATCTCACTGAATTATACCTCTTGAGTCATATCTTCAAATCCTAGTCTTCTGCATTACTATTAATACCTCTACTATCTTTATCACTATGGGATTTGATTTGACATTTGCATCTCTGTTTGCTAATGTGGTATGGCAACATGAACTTATGTACATACGTACGAAGTTCTACGTTTCAGCTGACTGACTGACTGACTTGAACTATGATAATCCTTATAATGAGTAGGACAGAGGAGTTGTCACACCAGACTTCCCGGCTTCGTTTCGTTTTCCTGTTTCTTATTTCTAACGCTTGTTTGAGAAAACGGTTGCCTAAAATAAACTCATCCAAGTGAATCTGTTTTTGACTTCTTACCACTTCCGTTTCATAACATACTTAATCGTCCAAATAAGGAGTCTATCAAAAACTTAGCAAAAATCACTTTATGAAATTGATTTATTAACATTTGTTTGGAATAAATTAAAATGAATGCATGAATCTTGGCATGTGTATAAAAAAAATAATCAATAAATCCAACAGGCAGTATTAATTAATATTATTTATTATTCCATGCAGTTAAAATGTGTCACGACGCTATCGTTAATAAATAAATGATATTGCCCCATTAAATTTTTAGATAACTTTTCATACTACTTCACAGTTGGAAGTAGTATGTTGAATATCACATAAAAAACAGACATTTTTGTGTTCAATTGCTAAGTCATCATAGTAAGCTAGAACTGTGTTTTATTGTAATTGTTAACATTGATTTTAGGTCTAAAAGAACAAAAGTAACGGTAAAGCATTTTTCGATCGATAGAATAGTTAATAATATCATTGAAGTTATTTTAGTGAGTATGTTATATTTGTAACCATGAATCGATCAACGTTAGACCACCATTAGAAACCTGGAAGCACTGGACGGCCGTTTCGTCCTGGTATGGGACTCATCAGCAGTACGCACCCACGACTCCTGCTCCTCGCAGGACCTTCGGTATTGTGCGCGAATGCCCTAACCGTTAGACCACCGAGCCGGTATCTGACGGTGTTAATGTCTAACTTGATCAAATCCACCGAGTTGCGCAACCTCATACCCTGTATACATCCAGACAGGTTTGAACTTCACTGGTCACGACTTCCCACTAGAACTCGGAGAAGATTCCTCACCAAGCTAGTCACTAGTGGACACATGTCATTGCATTGCGGGGTTGTTGTGAAGATTGTTAAGTTTTATTCGTAACCATGAATCGATCAATGTTAGAACACCATTAGAAACCTGGAAGCACTGGACGGCCGTTTCGTCCTGGTATGGGACTCATCAGCAGTGCGCATCCACGACTCCTGCTCCTCGCAGGAGTTATAATTATCATGAATAACTGTTATTAGTTTTAAGCTTGTGAAACAAGTTAACACCTGCATAGTTTTTAAAATCACGTTAAGCTAAAAAAATTTTAAGTGACTTCTCTTGGGTGTGATGGTTAATATCAACAAAACCTGTCGACTGAAATAAACACCGAGATGACTTTCATACAGTATAATCTATATTTCCAATGTCAATTCAGACAATGTATTGACTGACAAGACTATAAACCGTCATCTAATAAAATGGCTAGGAAATGTATTTCGTATATATATCTACCCACCATCTACCTCGATATAAAAAGGATGGTCGTCATATTGTGGTGCGCGCTACTTATAAGTAGTATATGACGCGAGTGTAAACGTAATGTCTGGCAGCAGAAGATGGGGGGAATATCAAGAAAGGAAGAGTGGGAACACAATGGAATTTGTATGAAACGCATGAATAGTGAAATGTCAGACAATGGATTTAAGATTAGCAAATTAACGGTTACGATATGGTTTTCCTATTTTACTGAGTAACTCTGTAATTTTCGTTAAATACAATTCGGTTGCCCTCACCTGTATTCTCCTTCACTACAATATGAATATTGAGCGATACAAGACTGATCAAAATTCAGCCAAAAGATAAATAACGGGAATAATTGAAATGTTCTCACTAGTGACTAGTTTCGCGAGACAGATTCTCGGAGTTCTAGTGAGAAGACGTGATTGGTGGAGTTCAAACCCGAATAATTATAATAAACACCTTATCGTCATTCTTTAGGATACTACTAACTGATTAGTTAGTCTAAGTTGGAGATCTAGTAAGGATGAATAACATAACCACGATCAATGTTAAACGACAGAAGTAGCCTGAGAAAAAAACATGACATCGATTCATAATGTTATCATCGACTGACAGCCTAAAAAAATGTCCACTTCATGGTTTGGGCATGTAGAGAGAGAGTAGTTACAATCAATAATTAAAGAACCAAGTCGTCATGATTTCGGATAGATATCAGTTATATTTCACCTTGACTATTACTATGCATACTGTTATTTCTGAATTTTTATACTTTAGTTTTATCCACTATTTTTGAAAGTGTGATAATTCAACTAGGTAATTGAACACTCAATTTGATTTCCTAGCTGCTGATCTTAATAATTGCAGACTAACTCTACAGGGCAGTCTGAATACAAGAGATGCTTTACTCCCTGGTTAGGTATGCATGTATATATTTATATAAGTAATGATAACTTTGATCATCATAGAAGTAGAGTAAACATAACAAAATGAAAGGAGTTATTCAATCAAAGGTGTCGCATGTGATCTATTATCATCTTTCTAGATGTTTCGAGGTTACTACTCCTAGCCAATCCTGATTGGATAAAATGTTTGTAAGCGTGTTCTAAGCCTGCTATTAACTTTCCTGAAAAGTATTTCATTCAGGATTCTTCAATAAAAGTGCATTTCTCACTGTTAAGATTTATATTTCAGTTGACAATCTCCACCATGTCTTTATGTGGATAATAGCTATTTCCAACATATAGGATATATTTATATACAAATAGTAAAACAGTAGCTTAATGATCAAGGCAGTCAAGTTTAAATCACCAAAAAAAATCCCAGGTTTGTACCTAAAAACTTGATGAATGAGTTAAATTTTGCTGTACATATATATATCTTTTGCGGAAAACACCCGATTGCGCTAAAGGCAAGCCCTCATTCCTAATCCTCAAGATCAAAGGAGAACAGGGAAACCAAAGAACACCTGACACTAGGAATAGAAGGCAGATATACCACAGTAGCACAGAGAGGCAATTGTCAATGCAAATCGCATAGTAGTAGAGGTAATAGAAGGGTGAAGGTTCGAATATATTATTGAAGAAGTAGAATCTAGTGAAATAAACTTAAAAATAAAAAGATATAAGTGATGAAGAATCCAGAAGTTTGGAATTTGAGAGAACACAAAGAGTGGATGCACCTGCCCCATTGCAAACGATTTTGAGCCATATCATTCGAAGTCACTAACTATCGTCTGACGGACCCTAACCAAGGTAGTCTACACTCACTAACACGATTCACAGTCAAGTTGTCAGTGACTTCATGGATTTGTGCTATGTTTCCGTTTACCTACCCCTAAGATCTAGCCTACCCGTACATCACAACACATTGCTCGTCGAAGCAGTTGATGTTTTAACATTCGTAACACATGTCTGAGATGACGACTCACTGGTCTAGCAGCAGTTAAACGTTCGAGCACAAGATCTGGTTTCTTCAAATCCTGCGAGTAGCAAGAGTCGTGGATGCACAACTGTTGTAACGCTTGCTTAAATAATTCCCAGCTAAATCCTATTGCTTAGTATTCTCTGTCCACAATACACTGGACAAGTTCCCAAGAATCAAAACACGGTTGAACAGGAAAAGATTATATTCCAAATAGCAAGGTTAAATGGAAATAAGAAGCCAAAGGTGATGGCGAAGGCAAAAAATAGATACAACGTTAGTCTATTTATAGCATTTATATGAGAAGCTTCTGGATAGAAATTCATCTGATCGACTGGATTAGATTTAACCAATCAGCATGCAGCTAACAATACGAGAATTTTCTACCCTGTTCTCAAAGAATCAAATCAGGCGCTGATTGGATAGGAAATTAGCCAATCAGCGTGCAGCTAACGCAGTCATGCTTTGATTCCATCTATGTCTAACTAACAACAACACTGCCACTGATGAGCAGCCCCATACCAAGACGAAATGATCGTCTTTCAGTAGTGTTTGCAGTTTTTTTTTCTAATAATGATCGATTCATAGTGTAGTGTACGCTACTTATGTTCACATAAGTAGTATATATGATATCAAATGGAAATCAAACGTCTGACAGCAAAAGATCGAGAAGGAAAGAATGAGAGAACAGAAGGCGATTTGTAGGTAACGCTTAAATTGAACTGAAGTCTAAACAGTCTAAATGTGAAAGAACACTGAAATCTGAAACAAAAATAAGGATTAGTATGCAAATGATGATGTCACGGGAAGGTTTTTGTAAATATGCCTAACAACTCTGTAATATTCGCTTAAATATATGTATATTGTTGATATCCTCACCTGGGTTTTGGTGCACAACAATAGTTACTCAACAATCTTCCCAACCATAAAAAAAACAATGCAAATTTTTTTGATATTAAAACAAAATACAAACTCGAGTAAATGTATAAATCTATTTGATTATATTAGACAATTAATTTTATTGTACAAATTTGACCAAGGCTAACACCATCACGCCATCACCAATAATAAAAATGATACAGTACAGTACAGAAAAATGAAAGCTTAAGGCACACACATGATTGAGAGCAGCAACACACACACACACAGAGACAGACTGAGAGTGGTGATCGAACTCATGTCTCATGTTCACAAGTCATACATACATAACATAACATAAGGCAAAAAGTAGAGAAATATCCGTAAACAGGAAAGACAAGGCGAATATTGTATACACACAGAAAAAAACTAACCTTAAAGAGAAAAGAAGGAAGGAAGAGGAAGCATTATCAACTAACTGTCTGTCAGTGTGTATATAATAGATTTATTTATACAAAAGCATTACAGTTGTTAGAATAAATCTTCAAGATTCACTTGAGCCGGTCCAGTACGTTTAGTATAACGTCGATAACGTTTTAAATCAGTATCTTCAGCTGCACGTATACGATTAGCTTCTTCTTGATCGGCGAGAAATTTCTAAAATGAAATTAATTTTTTTATTTAAAGGATTTTCAAGTAATATCATTATAAAAAGTTTTTAAAAAAATTATCAGTGACTAACAAGAAATAAATCTGTCAAGAAGTAGTGGATTAGAGATCAATGCCATCGATGAACTATGTAGTGTGAATTGATTGCGTTCAACTCGAAGCATTTGCTCGTATATCGTGGGACAACCGAGTGAGCAATGCTAGGTAAGAATGTCAGATCAATAGGTAATGGAACTTAATCAGTTGAAGTGGTTGGGACATGTGTTACGAATGCCTAACCACCGACTGCCTCGACGAGCTATGTTTTGTGGTGTAGGAATAGGTTGGAAGAAAGTTAGGGGCGGCTAGACCAAAACATGGGATAAATCCATGAAGTCATTGACAAGTGGACTTAGCCATGTTGGTAGTTGTCGACTACCTGGTTGGGGTCAGCCAGACGAAAGTCACCAATGGTTAGAGTCCTTGAATTACATAGCTCAGAATCGTTTGCATTGACGAAGGTGCATCCACTCTTTGAGCTCTCTGAAATCCTAATCTTCTGGAATCGTCAACACCTCTACCTTTGTCTTTCTAACCTTATCTCACTGAATTATACTTCTTGAATAATATCTTCAAACCCTATTCTTCTTCATTACCATTAATACCTCTACTATCTTTATCACTGTGGGATTTTATTTGACATTTGCGTCTGTGTGCTAATGTGCTGTTTCAACATGAACTTATGTACATACGTACGTTGTTCTACGTTGCAACTGACTGACTTAGTTACTTACGGCTATCAATCCCCAAATGGAGCATAGGCCGCCAACCAGTTTTCTCCAACCAACTCTGTCCTGGGCTTCCCTTTCCAGTTCTTTTACAATTTTTGTTCATTCTTCTCATATCTTTCTCTCTATTTCTCGGGGTGTAACGTGTTCCTTGGCCTTCCTCTTTTCCTTTTACATTGAGGGTTCCATGTGAGGGCTTGTCTTGGGACGCAGTTAGATGCTTTTCGTAGTGTGTATGTCCTATCCACCAACTCCACTGCTTCTTCTTGATTTCTTCCTCCACTCTAAGTAGATGCTAACTATTTTGGCGGCAAGCGATCCAACTCCTCAAAATTAGACCGAATGATTGAGTAAATATGCGGTGAAATTAATCTCTCCTTCTATTGTCATGTATCCCCTACTTAGGTGAACTCCGTTTGTGTATCGATGGTTATAAAAAGCCGAATAGTTAGTGAATCAGTCAGTTACAATGTAAAACTTCATAGAGTACAAACATTAGTCCAAATTGTCATACTAGATTACGACAAACAGATTGAATTATCAATTCAAATCCCATAGTAGTAGGGGTAGTAAAAGTATCAATGGTGATATGAAATATCATAGTTCGACGATATTATTTAAGAAGGATATCCCAACCGAATCATTTTAAAGAGAAAAATAAAGTCATGAGGAATTCATAAGACTAGAATTTGAGAGAACACAAAGAGTGGATACACCTGCGCCATTACAAGTTGGCAAATGCCAATCGAGCTTTCTTTATCCGTGCTGAGTGGGCCTTCCTTCCCCCATTCCGCTTCACTTCGATTCGCCTTTATGCTTTGCAGTCTAATGGCTGTGTCTGTGTGAACTGTCACATGAAATAAATTCATCCGCAAAACTGTATTTAACTTCTTATTGACGCCGTTGTGCTAACGGAAATTAGATTGGAGATTTGTTTCACAGACTGACTACTTTAATCATTCATACGAAATGAAGTCACCAACCAGGTCCCAACCAGGTAGCCTACATCTACCAACATGACTCAATCCACATGTCAGTGACTTCATGGGTTTGTGCTATGTTTTGGTTTGGCCGCCCTTAGCTTTCTTGCAGCCTGATCCTGCATCACAAAACATTGCTCGTCCAGGCAACCAATGATTAAGAATACATAACATATGTCCCAACCACCTCAACTGATCAAGTTTCAAAACTTCATCAATAGCATTGCTTATTCTCAGTGGTCACAGAAGATCGATCCTCCATACCCAGTCAGTCAGATTAAAAATTTTACTAGGATCCTGTATGCGCGTTTCCGAGACACAGCATACATCGATGCTCCAACATACAGTCTAGAACGAGGTTTCAAGAGACCAGGAATGACTTTTCATGAACTCGCATCGTTTGCATTAGCGGTGCAGTCAGATAAGGGAATGTGAGTACAGTTAGTTGTGGGGAAAAGAGAGGTATGTGTGGGTGTAGGAAGGATTTGATTTCGACCAATTTGGTCTCGTGTGCTGTTATGGGTACGAGGGCGGTTATCACTTTCCGGCTGCCCACACCGTGGAAGGTTGTTTCTTGAGGAACCTGAAAAGGAAGGTATATTAGCGTTGGTCTTAGAGACCTGGGTGCGTGACCGCAGAGCCCAAGGGACAACTGCTTGAGGCCGGTCACACACGGCCTTTTTATTAGAGGATTTTTGAGGATTAGCTCCACTCTTGAAAGCCTTTAGTGGGCACCCTTACCCAAGGAGACGGAAATCCGTGAGGTAGGGTGAGGTGTGACATTTTTAGGGTCAACCTTTTCTAACCCTCCCTTCTTTGTGAGAAGGCAGCATCACTGCAGATACTGGTTGCCCGAGAGAAACACCTTACTGCTGTCACACCCCTGCACAGTCAGTCAGCAATACGACTTCGCCCTCAGACCTTGGGTAGCTGCTTTTAGTCTCATCGTTTTCCAATCGACCTGCCTGTCATGTTAGAACCTTCGGGAACACAAGTTCCAGCCAATATAGTCATGACGATAGGCAAGCCCGACTACCACGTCAAGGTAGCAGCAGCTACCCACAAACCCGGAAAAATGGCCAAACATTCACTTTTATAAACTTAATCATTCTCACTTTATTCATTCAGCTGACAAATCAATTACAAACTAAAATTAGAAAAAAAAACATCAACAAACCTGATAATTTTCATTAATCCAAAGTTTTTGTGATAAATACTTTGCTTGTTGCAATTCACCTACATAATCCCATTCACTTTCATTCATTTTCAAACGACGTCTAGTAATAAATATCCGCGCTTCTTCATCATAATCCTTACGTAGTATCCAATAGTTTACAATCCAATTAAGCATCCAACGTAACCATACAAAACATGTCCATGGGAAAAATATTATTCTAACCAGTAGAACACGTTTCAAACTGGGTCGACAACAATCACCTCTAAAAATGAAAGATTGAATAGAGAAGTAGAATCTTTTTATAGCGGGAATGTGCTCACCAGTTAGAACTCAAAATATCTTTAGAGCTCAGTTTTTTTTTCACATTATGCACTTATTTTTATGCATTAAACTTTATACTACTAATAAATTATATTCAATAACTTGTTTAATTTATTATAAATTTTTTGGGTATCTAGTGTGTGTACATGCCGTACATTGCGTGTTGTGTAATATGTTGAGTGTTAGTTGGTTGGTAATATTCAATTCATTTATCATTTGAACTGCACCTTCTTGGTACTACATGCAACGTGTACTTTCAATTCCGGTGTATCTGCGTCCTAACTGTCCGGTATCAACTGGACGATCTGGCTGTTCTATCGCACACGCAACAACAAATGCAAGAGAAGACGACCAGTGTAGCAGCAGCCTCAGCAGCAGCAGTGAGTCTCAACATACATAAAAGGAAAAAGCGAAATTCTCCGATGCAACACAACATGCACCAGCCCAATCACTCTTCATCTGGGCAGCATCATCAACAATCAAGGTGGATCCGATGCAGATGTGAGGGCGCGAATCGGAAAAGCAAGGGCTGCATTTCTACAGTTGAAAAATATCTGGAACTCCAAACAACTTTCAACCAAAACCAAAATCAGCATTTTCAATACAAATGTCAAGACAGTTCTACTGTATGGAGCGGAAACATGGAGGACTACCAAAGCCATCATCCAGAAGATGCAAGTGTTTATTAACAGTTGTCTGCGCAAAATACTTTGGATTCGTTGGCCAGACACCATCAGCAACAACGTACTGTGGGAGAGAACAAACCAAATTCCAGTGGAGGAGGAAATCAGAAGGAAGCGGTGGAAGTGGATAGGACACACTACGAAACGCACCTAACTGCGTCACGAGACAAGCCCTCACATGGAACTCTCAAGGCAAAAGGAAAAGAGGAAGGCCAAGGAACACATTACGCCGAGAAATAGATGAAAAGAATGAACAAACACTGGACAGAACTGGAGAGGGTAGCCCAGAACAGAGTTGGTTGCAGAAAACTGGTGTGCGGCCTATACTCCATTGGGGGTAACAGGTGTAAGTAAGTAATTAATTAAGTAACAATTTCCATATATTGACATCGTCCCCCATTATAATCTCAACATAAATATTAGCTATCACACATCTTATGTTGTCATAACTCTCTTTATATATATATATATATATATATATATATATATATCCAGTTTAGAATGCGCTAACTCCGCCTGAAAACCTTCTACGTTTACCACCGCTTCCAAACCCGAATAAAGGATTATAGGGTTGGGTATGGGAGTTTAGTGACCCCACCATCCCGTAGACACCCAACTCGCTAAAATGAAAAAAAACGCTGGTGGAGAAAATTTAATTCGCTGGTAGACGGCCTGTAATACTTAGTCCATTATAGGGGTAACAGGCGTAAATTCGACGTAGCATTTGACAAAGTGTGTGTGTGTGTGGTTGAAGCTTCAACAAAGAAGAATTAACATTGAGCATTGAACATCATTGAAAAGTAAGCGCATCCACGACTCCTGCACCACGCAGGATTCGAACCCAGGACCTTCGGTATTGTGCGCGAACGCCTAACCATCGGACCACTGAGCCGGTATCCCAAGGAGTAGTGGATGCGCACTGCCACTGAGGAGTCCCATACCAAGACGAAACGGCCTTCTTTCAGTGCTTCCAGGTTTCTTCAAATGGTGGTCTAACATTGATCGATTAATGGTTTCAAAAATGTGTAACATAACAATCTTCACAACCCCGTAATGCAAATAAGATGAGTGTAAAATTATGATTTCACAACGCGTATATAGTAACTTCCAAATAAGTACTATTTACTGACATCTAGTGGCAGAGCTATTTACAAAACTGAAATGATAAGTGAATGTCCGTTTTTTAAAAGCTTGAACCTAGTTGGAGGGGGTACAGAGGATCCATCTAGGAGAGTAGTTGGAAAACAATGAATCGATGTGTGTTTCCATTTCTCGATACAAAGTGTTTTTTGGTCTTCCTTTGTTTCCGTCGGTCTTCATGATTCCAAATGAGGTCTTGTCCGTTTTACACAGTTCGGTGCTTTCCTTATTGTGTCCTATCCACTTTCAGCAGCTCTTTCTGATTTCCTAATCCACTGGAATCTGGTTTGTTCTCTCCCACAGCAGGTTGTTTCTGATGATATCTCTCCTATGAATCCACAGTATCGTGCAAAGACAACACTTAATGAATCAGTCAGTCAGATGCAACGTAGGACTCCGTACGTAAGTACATCATCAGTTCATGTTGCCATACCACATTAGCACAGAGATATAATTGTCAATTCAAATCCAATAGTAGAAGAGGTAGTTAAGGTATTAGAAGTAATCGGAGAGGTTAGGATAAGAAGATATTATTCAAGAAGTATAATTCAGTGAGATAAGTTTAGAAAGTCAAAACTATAGGGGTTGAAGAATCCAGAAGATTAGGATTTGAGAGAACACAAAGAATAAATGCACCGGCGCCATTGCAAACGATTTTGAGCCGTTATTCAAGGTATCTAACAATCGATTATTATCATCTCGCGGACCCCAACAGGTAGTCGACAATTACCGACATGGCTTAGTCCACTCGTCAATGACTTCATGGATTTGTGCCATGTTTTGGTCTGGCCGTCCCTAGCTTACTTCCAACCTACTCCTACACTACAAAACAAAGCTCGACGAGGCAGTCGGTGGTTGGGACACTTAATAAATACTTGTATCTTCTAGATGATGTTCTTCATAGTTCTCAGTTTCCACTCCACACAGTAGGACTTGTCTAGACATTTGTATTGAAAATCGTGACTCCGGTGTTGATTGATAGTTGTTTTGAGTTCTAAATGTTCTTGCTGTCCTTGTAAGATATATATTAACTACAATTATAACATGGTAATCATGAATTGATCATTGTTAGACCACCACCAACCATTGGAAACCTGGAAGCACTGAATGACCTTTACGTCCTAGTGTAGAACTCATCAGTAGTTCATATAGATGATCCCACGGGAAGGAACCGAACCCAGAACACTCGGTTTCGTGCGTGCGAACGCTTATCCACTTGACCAGTGGGCCGGGATCCGATGGTGTGAATGAATTACTCTAATCAATCCACAATATGAAGCAGTCACCTGTCGAAGACAATGAATGAGGTCCAAAGTATCGTAGTGTTAGGATATTCACCAAATATCCTAAGAGTACTACAATTTTTGGAAGTATAATCCTATTGGTCGATTTCTATTGGTCAAAATTATGGTCGTTTTCACTGTCAAAGTCTAAAATACTTCAATGTTGTCTCTTATTGGTCATCTGGACTGTCAATGTCATTTCAAATGTTCATTCCTATTGGTCGTCCTAAACTGTCAATGTCACAGACTTTGATGCTCTTGCCTATTCGACCTAAATGTATAAATACGCACTATCTGTAAGCCTTTATGATTTCGATTCCATTTCTTCCTGCCGACCTCTCTTCTGTTCTCGACCCAATAAACAACTCCATCCAACGGTGTTGTGTCCTGATATATAGGAGATTTGGAAATAGCATTTTGGGTCGTATTGGGATATTTGAATTGGACGCCGCTAGGACTGAATAGCTATACAAGCTCTCAACTCGAACACCACTGGTCGAGTGAGAGCTTATGACGATCTGTCACCAGAATTCTTTTCTTCAAGTGGTGTCCGTCAGGGATGTCCACTCTCTTCATTCTTGTTTAGTTTTATCATAGACATGCTCCTAGATATAACCTTATCCTCGTCTGAATTTTCAGGAGTAGACCTTTTACCAGGTGGCTCGCTTATTGACTTAGAATATGCCGATGACATTGTCCTACTTGGTGAAGATGCTGACAAAATGCAGAGTCTTCTGACTACCCTAAGCAACAATGCAAGCATCTTCGGGATGCGGTTTTCCCCCTCGAAACGCAAAATGTTGCTTCAAGAATGGGTTGCATCGGCACCTGAACTAGTGATAGGGAGTGAAGTAGTAGAGCGTGTTGACCGCTTCACTTATTCGCGGAGTCTCATCAGTGCCGATGCCCTGGTGACTGACGAAATCTCAGCACGGATACAGAAGGCTCGATTGGCTTTTGTCAACCTGCGTCACTTATGGCGCACGCCAGATATCCGCTTGTTAACCAAAGGACAAGCGTACTGCGCAGCAGTTCGCTCCGTCCTACTATACAGATGCGAAACATGGCCGTAGAGTAGAGGACATTCGTGGGTTACTAGTCTTCGATCATAGGTGTCTGCGAAGCATTGCTCGTGTATCATGGGACGACTGAGTAAGCAATGCTATCGTTAGGAAACGAGTTCTAGGTAAGAATGGCAAATCAATAGATAAAGTATTGAAACTTCATCAGTTGAAGTGGTTGGGACATGTGTTGTGTATGCCCAACAACCGACTTCCGCGACGAGCTATGTTTTGTGGTGTAGGAGTAGATTGGAAGAAACTTAGGAAAGGCTAAATCAAAACATGGCAGAAATCCATGAAGTCAGTGACAAGTGGACTGAGTCATGTCGGTAGTTGTCGACTACCTGGTTGGTGTCCGCGAGATAATAATAATCGATGGTTAGAGACTTTGAACGACATGGCACAAAATCGTTTGCAATGGCGCAGGTACATCCACTCTTTGTGTGCTTTTTAATTCTAACCTTCTGAATTCCTCATCATCTCCATCCTTCTCCTTCTAAAGTTTATCTCACTGAATTATACTTCTCGAATCATATCTTCGCTCCCTAATCTTCTCCATTGCTACTAATAATTCTACTATCACTATCACTCTTGGATTTGAACTGACAGTTACGTCTCTGGGCTGATATGGTATAACAACCTGAACTGATGTACTTATGTAAAAATTTCTGCGTTGTGTCTGTCTGTCTATCCGTCTGTCTGTCTATTAATTGATAAACTTAATTAACATTTAAACCAACTCTTGTTATAAAAAATCATAGATTTTCAAGCACATTCTCCATTAATTTTATCACACAAATTCAGTTAAAACACTTTTAATTAAAAAAATAATAATAATGAGTTCCAGACAATTTGGTCTCAAGATTATTTTGAAATCATGAATTATTGATCAATGTTAGTGACTATTATTAGAAGAAACTTTAGAAGCATTGGATGATCGTTTCGTTCTGATATCGGACTCATCAACTAAGGCGCTAGCTAGCTAGCTAGTGAGAAGTACGTGACCAGTGGATGTCAATGCTAATTGAGGTGTGAAGCAGTGCCTACTGAAAAAACAATGAATAAGGTTGCACAAGCTCGTGGATTATTCGAAGTTACACATTAACACCGTTGGATGGTGGGTGGCTTAGCGGTTCAAAGGTTAAGGCGTTTGCAAGCAAGACTGAATGGCCTGGGTTGGAATTTTGCGAATAGCTAGGAGTTGTGGATGTGCACTATCTATCACTGATCAATCCCATACCAGCAGGACAAAACGACCATCCAGTGCTTTCAAGTTTCTTCTGATGATGGTCTAACATTGATCGATTCATGATTTCAAGATTATTTAACATTATATTGGATAGATTAAACATACGTATATATATTTTTTTCAGACGCTAAATACAAAATATTTAAATAGCTATTCGTTCGTTGCAGATGCGCCCAAAATGTACACCTATACAAGTGTGATATGATTACTTTTAAAGGATTATTGAAGAGAGTAACGTTTTCATCCAATATCCTAAGAGAATTATTGGTCAATTCCTATTGGATAATTCCTACTGGTCAATTTTATGGTCGTCCTAGATATCAATGTCCCGTGCCTCCAATGTTGTTTCTTATTGGTTGTCCTAACTATCAATATCACTTCAAATGTTACTTCCTATTGGTCGTGGTAACTGTCAATGTCACAGAATTCGATGCTGTTTCCTATTCGACCGAAATGTATAAATACGCATTATCTGTAACATTTTATGACCCGGACCAGGACCTGGATCCCTAGTCCGGGATCCTGATTCTCTTCCGGACTCGGGCCTCGTACCTTCTGGATAATTGTAGAATACTGTTACGCCTGCACGTAAACACGTCAATTTGATTTAATTGAACTATTACGAGTTCAGCTGGTCGGAAACGAGATCGAGGATCCGGTGACACGACATACTACTCAAATCCGATTATTCCAACCCTTATATTGAGTAAAAAAATAAGAGGACATGATATGAATTAGAACCTGTATTCTACAAGCATCCAGAAAGTACGATGTCCGAGTTCAGAAGAGAATCAGGATCCTGGACTATGGATCCGGGACCCAGTCCTGGTCCGGGTCATCAAAGGTTACAGATAATGCGTATTTATACGTTTCGGTCGAATAGGAAACAGCATCGAAGTCTGTGACATTGGCAGCTAAGACGACCAATAGGAAGCAACATTTGGAGTATAGGACATTGATTGTTTGGACGACCAATATGGAGCACGGGAGATTGATATCTAGAACGACCATAAAATTGACCAGTAGGAATTAACCAATAGGAATAGACCAATAATTCTCTTAGGATATTGGATGAATATCCTAACAAATACATGTTCTACTTCACATATCAAGTCTTCTTCTTTTACTCAATAGGGGGGGGGGTTTGGGACAATCGGATTAGAATAGTCTATCGTGTCGCCGGATCCTCCGCTCTCGTTCACCGACTAACGTGAACTCGTAATAGTTCAAGCATATCAAAATGACGTGTTTACTACATGCGTGCATAACAGGTGAACACATTTCAATTCCATAGAAAACCACTCATCAAACATATATATATACATAGATATATATATATGTATATACAGATTAGATCCAACAAAAAACTGACCACTTAATTTATTTTTATTTATTATATTTACCGAAGTTCAACAGTTTCTTTTAATATATTCCGCAGTAATTGTTCTTCACGATCTTTCAATTCATCACGTGTTAAACGTCGACCAACTTCATATTTGGATATATTTAAACGACCATCAGCACTAGCTAGCTGTTTTGCTTTAGCACGATGTTTTGGATCTTTTAATAAATAACTTAATGCATGATTATAACTTGTCCATTGACCAGCATACTGTATTATGAAATCATTTGGATAAATAAGTAGTATAGTATAGTATTAGAAATAAAAGTTGGCGTGATTGAATCAAATGAATAAATAAGCAATCATAGAGTTAACATATTTAATTTGATAATTAGGCAATTAGTCATTTGATAGTTAGTCAGTTAGTTAGCTACAACGTAGAACTCTGCACGTACGTACAACAGTTCAAGTGGCCATACCAACACATCAGCACAGAGAAATCTAATAGTCAAATCAAATCCCACAGTAATAGTCAAGGTAGTAGAAGTATTAGCGGTAATCGGAGAGGTGAGGGCAACCGAATTGTGTATTTAACGAAAATTACAGAGTTACTCAGTAAAATAGGAAAACTGTATCGTAAACGGTTAATTTGCAAATCTTCAATCCATCATCATCAATCCATTGTCTAACATTTCACTTATTCATGCGTTTTATACAAATCCCATTGTGTTCCCACTCTTCCTTTCTTGATCTTCCCCCATCTTCTGCTGCCAGACATTACGTTTACACTCGCGTCATATACTACTTATAAGTAGCGCGCACCACAGTAGAAGTATTAGCAGTAATCGAGAAGATTAGGGTTCGAAGATGTTATTCGAGAAGTATAATTCAGTGAAACAAAGTTAAAAATAGAAAGATAAAGATGAAAAATTCAGAGGATTAATATTTGGGAGAACACAAAGAATGGATGCACCTGCACCATTCCAAACGACTTTGAGTTATGTGATTCAAAGTCTCTAACTGTCAGTTACTATTGTCTCGTGGACTCCAACCAGTTAGTGTATATCTACTCTTTCAGCCTACACCCCCTACATCACAAAAGGTTAAGAAGAGAAGAGAAAAAATAAGTGAAATAACTATGTTGAGTGTACTCATATACCGATGATATTGCTTGTCATGCTTAGACATGAACCCAGTACCTGTGGATTTTGAATGATATAATCCTGAGTCGCAATAGCAAAAATATTGTTAGAGGGAGGTATTACGCAATTAAGATGCATTTTCATTGTAAAAGAGCTAGTTGCGAGTTCTGTTGAGGGTACGAACGCGGTTATCACTTCTTGAGTAGTCATAATGCTGAAGGATATTTTCTGAGGAATTTTAAAAAGAAACCTGAGAGCGTCACTGCAGCCAGCACTTAAGGATCAACTACTTGAAGCGTGGATAACGTGCAAACCACCTGACTGTTTTTTATTCACCTTCTTTTCGTTGTAAGAAGGCAGTATTGTCGTAGATGTTAATTGTTTGAGGAAAACACCACCACAACCACACTGTCATAACATCCCTCTGTACGGTTGAGACAGTACGACTTGACCGTTCAACAAATGTTTCAGTCAACATAACTCGATCAGTCAGTCAGTCAGTTGCAACGTAGAACTTCGTACGTATGTGTACATAAGTTCATGTTGCCATACCACATTAGCACAGAGACGCAAATGTCAAATCAAATCCCATAGTGATAAAGATAGTAAAGTTATTCATGGTAATGAAGGAGACTAAAGAGTTTGAAGATATTATTCAAGAAGTATAGTTCAGTGTGATAAGGTTAGAAAGACGAAGGTAGAGGTGCTGATGATTCCAGATGATTAGGATTTGAGAGAGCTCAAAGAATGAATGCACTTGTGCCATTTCAAACGATTTCGGGCCATGTCGTTCAAGGTCTCTAACCATTGGTGACTTTCGTCTCGCGGACCCCCAACCAGGTAGTTTACATCTACCAACATGACTCAGTCCACTTGTCAGTGACTTCATGGATTTCTGTCATGTTTTGGTCTGGCCGCCCCTAACTTTCTTCCAACCTACTCTTATACCACAAAACATAGCTTGTCCAGGTAGTCGGTGGTTAGGCATTCGTAACACATGTCCCAACCACCTCAACTGATGAAGTTTCACCACTTCATCTATTGATCTGCCATCCTTACCTAGTACTCGTTTCCTAACGACAGCATTGCTTACTCGGTTGTCCCAAAATATATAAGCAATGCTTCTTAAACATCTATGATCGAATACTAGTAACTAACCTTCGAACATCTTCTACTCTTAACAGCCATGTTTCACAACCACCATATAGCAGAACGGAGCGACCCACTGCGAAGTACACTTGTCCTTTAATCAGCAAACGGATATCACGCCTAAGCCATAAGTGACGCAGATTGGCAAAAACCAATCAAGCTTTCTCTATCCTCGATCAAATCACGCTGAAATGAAATTCTAAAACTGGACTACAGATCTACACACGCACCAGTCAAAGTAACAGTTCTGATTAAGTAACAAAAAATTACAATCAAATAACAATAATACAAACCTACTTGTATTGATGATATAATAATCAGGATGGATAATATCACTAATCGTACATCAACTTTAGTTGAAACACGACGTCGATAATATTGATAATAATGAAAATACATTTGATCTGGATTATCAAGCATATAATCATATTCCGTTCGTTGTTCTGGATCACTTAAAATCTAAAATAATAATAATTTTTTTAAAAAAAATATGAAAACAATGTACACATTATGTTGGTTATGTGGTGATTGGCAGCATTATGTACAATACTGTCCATTTAAAAAATTGTTAGTGGGACATAGACGGAATTAAATCATGACTGCGTCAGCTGCGCGCTGATTGGCTAATTTCCTATCCAATCAGCGCCTGATTTGATTCTTGGAGAACAGGATAGAAAATTCTCGTACTGTTAGCTGCATGCTGATTGGCTAAATCTAATCTGGTCGATCACGTGAATTTCTATCCAGAAGCTTCTCATGTAAATGCTATAAATAGACTAACGTTGTATCTATTTTTTGCCTTCGCCATCACCTTTGGCTTCTTATTTCCGTTTAACCTTGCTATTTGGAATATAATCTTTTCTTGTTCAACCGTGTTTTTGATTCTTGGGAACTTGTCCAGTGTATTGTGGTCAGAGAATACTAAGCAATAGGATTTAGCTGGGAATTATTTGAGTAACATTTACAACACATTAGTGACTAGCTCCCTCTGTGTGAAGAAATTTCTCCGATTTCTAGTGTACAATGTCGTGACTAGTGGTGTAATGATGTTCAATCCTGTTTGATTGAGTGTGAAGCAGTGCCTACTGAAAACAATGGATGAGATTGCGCAATGTCGTGGATAGATTCAAATCAGGCATTGACATTGTCGGAAGCTAAGCTCAATAACAGTCGAAGAAGTTAGGCGTTCATGCATGGGACCAAAAATCATGGATTCGATTCCCGCGGGTGGGATGGCGCATGCGCACCGCCGAAGAGGCCGAAACTGGGACGAAACGGCCGTCTTTCAAATGCTTCTAGGTTTCTAATGGTGGTATAATAATATGTGATTCATGTTAGGATATTCATCAATTATCCTAAGTCTAATTCTGTTGGTCTTCCTAACTATCAATGTCACAGACTTCAATGTTGTTTGTTATTCGACCTAACTGTATAAATATGCATCATCTGTAATGTTTTATGACCTGGACCCGGATTCGGATACTTAGTCCGGGATCTTCATCCTCTTCTGCACTCGGAACTTGTAGTTTCTGGATGCATGTAGAATACATGTTCCACTTCATGTCAAGTTTTCTTCTACTCAATGGGGAGTTTGGGACAAGTTGAAATGAATATTGAATGTATATTTTAGTAATTTGAAAGTATTTTCAATAAAATTTATAATTGTAAAGTTTAAAGTACTTGGTAAACATGTGAGTCGGTCAGTCAGCCAGTCAGTCAGTTAACGACAACGTAGAACTTCATACGTACGTACGTAAATCAGTTCAAGTTGACATACCAACACACTAGGCACAGAGAGACGTAATAGTCAAACCACATAAAGGTAAAGATTCGAGAGAGTACAACAAGTGGATGAACCTGAACCCTTGCAAATGATTTTGAGCCATATTTATTATTCAGGGTCTCTAACCATCGATGACTAGCGTCTCGCGGACACCAACCAGGTAGTCTACATCTACCAATATGATTCAGTCCACTTATCAGTGACTTCATGGATTTCTGTCAGGTTTAAGACTTTAAGTTTTGATGACAATGAAATCAGTTACAAGTGAATCAAATGTACTCAGTGAGATACAACTATTTAAAGGAAACATTGTGATAATTCAAAACAGTGGTTGGGACATGTGTTACGAATGGCTAACCACCAACTGCCTCGACGAGGTATATTTTGTGATGTAGAAGTAGGTTGGAAGAAAGTTAGGGGCGGCCAAACCAAAACATAGCACAAATCCACGAAGTCACTAACAAGTGGACTGAATCATGTTGGTAGATGTAGACTACCTGGTTGGTGTCCGCGAGACGCTAGTCATCGATGGTTAGAGACCTTGAACGACATGGCTGAAAATCGTTTGCAATGGCGTAAGTGCATCCATTCTTTGAGCTCTCTCAAATCCTAATCTTCTGGAATCATCAGCACCTCTACCTTTGTCTTTCTAACCTTATTTCACTAAATTATACTTCTTGAATATTATCTTCAAACCCTAGTCTTCTTCATTACCATTAATACCTCTACTATCTTTATCACTATGGGATTTGATTTGACATTTGCGTCTTTGTGCTGATGTGGTATGGCAACATGAACTTATGTACATACGTACAAAGTTCTACGTTGCAACTGACTGACTGAAATCCTAAAGAACATAAACCACGCGATCGTGAACCAGTTATTAATTTGGTTCTTATCAAAGACTGATATTAATTAGCAAACAATTACAAAACAGAAACCAACAGAACGTTATTTTGTCTTGATTTTACTACCTTTCAGGAATGAGTAATCGTTGAAGAAACCAGCCTAGGATCTTCAGATGTGGCAGCGATGTTGGGGACGTTAGATCCCTAGAACTCATTTAATTAAGATCCTAATATTGCTTTTTTCATGTTTCCGAGAATAAGCTGATCAGTTGACCTTGAGATTACATTCCCCACCAGGAAAACCTATGACTATTATTGGTACGTTATTTTTGTGGCTTTCCCAAGGACGTTTCTATCATGTCTAAATAAACTCGATTTGTGTGCTTTTCAACCTCATATTTTCTGGATGCTTGTAGAATACACTTTCTACGTCTTGTCAAGACTTCTTCCTCTACTAAAATGGGATCTTGGGACGCTTGGATGAGAGTAACCTATCATGTCACTGGATAATTTGTCTTCGCTCCGTTTACCGACTAACATGAACTCGTTACAGCATATCAAGCATATCAACTGTGACGAGCATAACAAGAGAATATATTGACCAGTGTAACTTGGAATTCAACTGGTCACTATTCAGGAATTCAACTATTCGTTAATACACTACTACGTGACATTACCCATATATCAATGGTTTCTAACTGTTTCACATCTTAGACACTAAAACTCAAAAGATTCCCTTCCCATTTAGACAATTCAGTAGTTCTTTAGATTATTTATTACTTATTAAAAACATACCTCATAGGCAGTATTGATCAGTCGGAAACGTTCTTCTGCTTTAATTTTCTCCTCTACTGTTTTCTGTCTATCTGGATGATGTTTTCTTGCCATTTCATGATAGGCTTTACGAATTCGACTTTTATCATCATCACGAGTAACTTGTAAAACTGATTGTTTTTTTTTTAATTTTTAAATAAATAAGATAAAACCAAGAAAAAGTTAATTTATCAGATATGTTATTAGCACATATAAATATTATGAAGATTGTCAGTACACGTTCAAATGATACATTGACACCAACGTCAGTGGACTAAAAAGAGGTTAAGCATTTGGTCTTGTGTGCTGTTACAGGTAGGTATGAGGGCGGTTGTCACTTCCCGGCTGCCCACACCGTGGAAGGTTGTTTCTTGAGGAACCTGAAAAGGAAGATAGATTAGTGTTGGTCTTAGAGACCTGGGTGCGTGACCGCAGAGCCCAAGGGACAACCGCCTAGACGAGCTATGTTTTGTAGTGTAGGAGTAGGTTGGAAGAAAGTTAGGGGCAGCCAGACGAAAACATGGCAGAAATCCATGAAGTCACTAACAAGTGGACTGAGTCATGTTGGTAGATGTAGACTACCTGGTTGATGTCCGCGAGACGAAAGTCACCAATGGTTAGAGACCTTGAACGACATGGCTCAAAATCGTTTGCAATGGTACAAGTGCATCCATTCTTTGTGTTCTCTCAAATCCTAATCTTCTGGATTCGTCAGCACCTCTACATTTGTCTTTCTAACCTTATTTCACTTAATTATACTTCTTGAATAATATCTTCAAACCATAGTCTTCTTCATTACCATTAATACCTCTACTATCTTTATCACTATGAGATTTGATTTGACCTTTGCGTCTGTGTGCTAATGTGGTATGGCAACATGAACTTATGTACATACGTACGAAGTTCTACGCTGCAACTGACTGACTGACTGACTGAATCAGGTTGCCATACCACATTAGCACCGAGACGCAATTGTCAATTCAAATCCCATAGTAGTAGTAGTAGAGGCAGTGAAACTATTAGCAGTAATCGGAGAGATTAGGGTCCGAAGATATGATTGGAGAAGTATAATCTAGTGAAATAAACTTATCAAAGAGAAAGATAAAGGTCATGAGGAATTCAGCTGATTAAAATTTGAGAGAACACAAAGAGTGGATGCACCTGCTCCATTGCAAACGAGTTTGAGTCATGTCATTAATCAAAGTCTCTAACCATCGATTTTACTATCATCTCGTGGATCCCAAACAAGGTAGTCTACACTTACCAACATTATTCAGTCCATTTATCAGTGACTTTGTAGTGAAGGAGAACACAAGTAGGGCAACCGGATTGTATTTAACGAAAATTACAGAGTTACTCAGTAAAATCGGATAACCATATCGTAAATCGTTCATTTGCAAAATATCAGTTCATCATATCGTACTGGACTGTTCCTGTTGCAAAACATCAATCCATTGTCTGACATTTCACTATTCATGCGTTTCATACAAATTCCATTGTGTTCCCACTCTTCCTTTCTTGATCTTCACCCATCTTCTGCTGCCAGACATTACATTTTTACTCGCGTCATATACTACTTATAAGTAGCGCGCACCACAACATCGAATACAGGAGTAGAGTTGATAACATATAGGAGTGACCATATCACTAAATAATCATCAGTCGACTTTTAATTATCTCACCCTTAATCAAATTCAGCCCATAAATAATCAAACATGTCCCAAAATTGAATGAACATACACAAACCAGTGTTTTATACAACAACATACAACACAATATTAAAATCTTTGGATTGATAAAAAAGAGTAGTATAACGTGCACACACACTTTATACCATCACCACAGGTAATTAATAAAAGAAATGAATGAAAAATTCTACTCTAATTGTCTTGTCGATTGATCAAATTGTTTTTTTAAAGTCAACAGGATTTTTTTTTTCAATTTACTTTTCATTTTTAGTCAATTTATGTCAATAAGTATTATTATTAATTAGTCTAGGTAATCGAGTAAGTAAGTATATTACCTAGAGAGTAGCAGTAATACACGAGTTACAACGACAACAACAACACGTTTAATGTAACCAGTGCAGAAAAACGTTACAATCAATTGAAATTAGTATACAAAAATTAGGGCAAGGTGTGGTTTTTATTATTATTGTTATTACTATTACTGTCTTATTGATTTACCAACTAGACAGATTTTAATATTCTTAGACATAAATCATAACTAAGCAGGACAACAGTAAATGATAGACACTAGCCAGTTGTTGTTCAAAAAACCTTAGTCAGAAGAGTCAGTCAGTCAGTTGCAACGTAGAACTACGTACGTATGTACATAAGTTCAGGTTGCCATACCACATCAGCACAGAGACGCAAATGTCAAATCAAATCCCATAGTGATAAAGATAGTAGAGGTATTAATGGTAATAAAGAAGACTAGGGTTTGAAGATATTATTCAAGAAGTATAATTCAGTGAGATAAGATTAGAAAGACAAAAGTAGAGGTGCTGATGATTCCAGAAGATTAGGATTTGAGAGAAAACAACGAATGGATGCACTTGCGCCATCGCAAACGATTTTGAGCCATGTCGTTCAAGGCCTCTAACCATTGGTCACTTTCGTCTCGTGGACCTCAACCAGGTAGTCTACATCTACCAACATGACTCAGTCCACTTGTCAGTGATTTCATGGATTTCTGCCATGCTTTGGTCTGTCAGAAAAGAGTGGATTTGAATCAGCAACTCAAGTGATTGAAAGTTGAGTGTTTTAACCATTAAACTATCTTGAAATTCTATTCCTTCTTGGGTTAATAAACAACTAAGCGTTGGCATGTATGTTATCAAATCGAGAGTTATGAAGAGGTGTGAATGTCGTCACTTCTTGGCAGATCTCACACACATGGTCAAATGGTATTTATTCTCTATGATTTTCAAAAAAAGAAGTGGGGTCATTGTCCATCTTAGTGGTATGGCAACTTGAATTGATGTGCGTACGTATGAAGTTCTACGTTGTTACTGACTGATTCATTGACTAGCGATCTGCGAACGTGATCAGACCCTAAGGGACCAATGTGTGATGCTGATCGTACACGGTCTTTTCATGGGGATTTTTTTAGGATGTTAGCTCCGCTCTTTAAAAGGCCTTACCGGCAGAGACAGAAATACATGCAGTAATTTGAAGTGTGACACTTTTAGGGAGGACCTATCATAACTTCTTCCTTCCGTTATGACCGGGCGGATTTCTACAGACGCTGCTTATGAGATGGAGATACATGACCACCATATGGGGAAGCTGGATAAACCTGATTCGAAGTAAATGGTGTACATAGCCTCCAGAATCCTGATGAAACGAAGAGTATGAACCTATTGTTGGACACTGACTACCATGTGACCAAATCTCCTAACGTTGCTCCACTGTCTTGCAAATTAGACAAAAGTTCGGGAAGTGGCCTCTTAAGAAAATCACCTGTTTCGGTTTGAGCACACTGCAAGTAACCCAGCACACGGACAAAATCAATAATTTGTATGGCACATATATGTTTTGCTACCCCTTTATATAAATGTTTCTGTATTTAAATAAGTAATGAAATAGTTTTCACCAATGTAAATTCTGGTTAGCGTTTTTTGGCAAGTTTGTTTTTAGTTGGGGTGGGGACGCCAACCCCATGCCCAACACCTCGTCCTTTATCCGGGCTTGGGACCGGTAGTATACCCGAAAGGTCTACAGGCGGATGCAAGAGAAGACAACCAGTGTAGCAGCATCCTCTGCAGCAGTAGGTCTCAACATACATAAAGGAAAAAGCAAAATTCTCCGATGCAACACAACATGCACCAATCAAATCACTCTTGATGGGGATGCCTTGGAGGACGTTAACACCATCACATAACTGGGCAGCATCATCGACAACCAAGGTGGATCCGATGAAGATGTGAGGGCGCGGATTGGCAAAGCATAGGCTGCATTTCTTCAATTGAAAAATATCTGGAACTCTAAACAACTTTCAACCAAAACCAAAATCAGGATTTTCAATACAAATGTCGAGACAGTCCTATTGTATGGAGCCGAAACTTGGAGAACTACGAAAGCTATCATCCACAAGATACAAGTATTTATGAACAGTTGTCTACGCAAAATACTTCGGATTCATTGGCCAGACACCATCAGCAACAAAGTACTGTGAGAGAGAACAAACCAGATTTAGGTGGAGGAGGAAATCAGAAAGAAGCGGTGGAAGTGGGTAGGACACACACTACGAAAAGCACCGAGCTGCGTCACAAGACAAGCACTCACATGGAACCCTCAGGGTCAAGGGAAAAGAGGAAAGAAGACATTACGCTGAGAAATAGAGAAAGACATGAGAGGAATGAACAAAAACTGGATCATACTTCTTGAATAATATCTTCTAATCTTAACCTTACTTCTAATACCTTTGCTACCTCTTCTACTCTATTGGATTTGAATTGACAATTACATCTCTGTGTTTGCAAATATGGTATGGCAACATGAAATGATGTACTTACGTACAAAGTTCTACGTTGCATCTGACTGACTGACTGATTGACTGATGAGTGATATATTCTCTTCTCAAAAGTCTTTTTTTTCTGTTTTTTTATTCATTGATTAATCGATATTGTCGAGAGAATTAACCTACATTATTAATACGTATATATATATATATATATATATATATATATATATATATATATATATATATATATATATATATATCTGTTTATTTGATAGACATGTTTGCATTTTCAAGTACATTGTTGTTGTTGTCGCTGTTAATAAAAAAATTTTGTTTTTCATTTCTGTGTTGTTTTTTTGTTTTCTATTGTCATTTGCACTTTACACACACAATGGTGTAATTGATTCCTTTAAATGAACTTTGTGCTATTATGATAAAGAATAGTCGATATAATGTTCTTTGTGTGTGTGTGTGAATGATTTGCTTGAGAGGAAAAACTAAAAAAAGGATACAAATGTGGAACATTCAGGATCAAAGGAAAAACAGAACGAAAGCCAAGCAAGCAACAACAACAACAACACATCACATTGAGAAATTGAGACAAATGTGAGGAAGAATGAATAACTATTAGATAGAATTGGAAAAGGAGGACTAGAACAGAGTGGATTGGAGAATTCTAGTCAATGACTTATAACTCCATTGAGGGTAGTAAGAGGTGTAAGTAAATAAGTCAATAAACTTTGATCATTTATTCAGTCAGTAGGCTACAACGTAGAACTTCACATGTCAGTCAGTCAGTCAGTTGCAACGTAGAACTTCATGCGTATGTACATAAGTTAATGTTGCCATACCATATCAGCACAGAGACGAAAATGTCAAATCATATCCCATAGTGGTATGGATAGTAGAGGTATCAATGGTAATGAAGAAGACTAGGGTTTGAAGATATTATTCAAGAAGTATAATTCAGTGAGATAAGGTTAGAAAGACAAAGGTAGAGGTACTGAGGAATCCAGAAGATTAGGATTTGAGAGAACTCAAAGAATGGATGCACTTGCGTCATTGCAAACGATTTTGAGCCATGTCGTTCAAGGTCTCTAACCATTGGTGACTTTCGTCTCGCGGACCCCAACCAGGTAGTCTACATTTACTAACATGACTCAGTCCACTTGTCAGTGACTTCATGGATTTCTGCCATGTTTTGGTTTGGTCGCCCCTAACTTTCTTCCAACCTACTCCTACACCACAAAATATAGCTCGTCCAGGTAGTCGGTGGTTAGGCATACGCAGCACATGTCCCAACGACCCCAACTGATGAAGTGTCACTACTGCGTCTATTGATCTGACATCCTTACCTAGTACTCGTTTCCTAACAACAGCATTGCTTACTCGGTTGTCCCAGGATACACAAGCAAGGCTTCTTAAACATCTATGATCGAATACTAGTAACCTACGAACATCTTCTACTCTTAACGGCCATGTTTCGCATCCATATAGGAGAACGGAGCGAACTGCTGCACAGTACACCCATCCTTTGGTTAGCGAATGGATATCACGCCTACGCCATAACTGACGCAGGTTGGCAAAAGCCAATCGAATCAGTTTAAATCTCATAGTAGTAGTAGAGGTAGTAGAAGTATAAGTGGTAATGAAAACGATAAGAGATATGATTCGAGAAGTATTACTTAGTGAAATAGATTTGAAAAGAGAAAAAAAGGGTTCTGAGGAATTCATATTATTTGGATTTGTGACAGAAGACAAGGAATGGATGCATTTGCGCTATTGCGAACATTTTGTCAGAGTCTTCACCCAACAAAACTACGTCATCGACATTTTCTCAGTCAATAAGTGAGTCTCCTGGTAGAAGGTCAACTCCAGAAAAGTCAAACGATGAAAGTATCGTCTCTAAAAGCATGTGAATGATAAAGTTAAATAAGAATGGGGAAAGTGGACAACCATGACGAACACCATTCGAGGTCATCACTCCCGATGACAGTTCACAATAAACTCTGACTTGAAGAGTAGTGTTCGAGAAGAAAGTTAATGTAATTATTTGGTACACCTTTCACACCTGCCAAATAACCTCACGATCAATAGAGTCAAACGCTATCAAAGAATACAACTATTGTCCGACAGTGAAAAATGTGTGTAGGTTCTAGGAACTACGGAAGTGTGAATATTCGATCTATAGATACTACGTCAAGGCGTAATGTCCTGTCTGGTACAAGATCGGGACATTAAAAACTTTAACATGTAGTTTAGAACAGGGTTACAGGAGACCAGGAACAACATTTCGTGTACTCGAATCATTAGCGGTAGCAGTGTGAGTTAGCCGTGCATATAATAGAGTTATTATGAGATAAAGGAAGGATATAATCGTAAACAAGTTGATTTTATGTGCTTTTAGGGGTATGAGGACTGATGCCACTTCCTAGCTGCTCACATCAGTCAGTCAGTCAGTAACAACGTAGAAATTGATACATACGTACATCAGTTCGGGTCGCCATACCACATTAGCACAGAGACGCAACTGTCAGTTCAATTCAATAGTGGTAGAGATAATAGAAGTATTAGCAGTAATGGAGAAGCTGCTCACATCGTAGAAAGGTATTTCTTCGTTAGGAACCTGAAAACGAAGCCGCGCCAGAATTGGTCTTAGCGATCTGGGAGCTTGACCTTAAAGCCCAAAGGACAAATGCTTGAAGCCGATCACGCAAAACCTTCTTGTGGGATATTTTTAAAGCGTTAGCTCCGCTCTTCAAAAGGCCTTACCGCAGGAGACGAAAATCCGTGGGTGTAAGAATTTTAGCGTCGACCTTCTGACCAAAAGGAACATGTTCTTCAGACAATATAGCTCGATTGGGTCATCACGATAACCAAGCCTGATCACCATGTTAAGGTAGTAGCTACGCTTGGGTTTGATCGTATAATAACTCATTTGGATTAATATGTTTTGTTACTGTTGGGATATTCATCAAATATCCTAAGATAATCGTTTGTAAGTTTAGTTCTGTTGGTCAATTCCTATTGGTCTTCCTAATTGTCAATGTCACAGACTTCAATGTTGTGCCCTATTCGACCTGTGTGAATACGCATTATCTGTAACATTTTATGACCCGGACCAGGACCTGGATCCGTAGTCCGGGATCCTGATTCTCTTCTGGACTCGGACCTCGTACTTTCTGGATGCTTGTAGAATACACGTTCTACTTCATGTCAAGTCTTCTTCATTCACTTATTGGGGGTTGTGGACGCTCGGATTAGAGTAGCCTGTCGTGTCGCTGGATCCTCGATCCTCGCTCTCGTTTCCCGACTAAGGTAAACTCTTAATAGTTCAAGCATATCAAAATGACATGTTTACGTGTATGCGTAAAAGTTACATTAATTAAACTCATTTTCCAAGTACATACTTAGGTACTGGAGACACTATGAGGGAGCATACAGTTTGTATGTTCGATAATATTAGTAGTAGTAAGTCGTTGATCATGAATATCTATGAAACATTTGCTCTTGAGTGTTCAAACTATTGAGTAAGTATACTAGGTAAATATACCTAGTATAAATATATACTAGTATATATAAATATACCTCGCAGCATTGCTCGTATATCCTGGGACACCCGAGTGAGCAACGCTGTTATTAGGAAACGGGTGCTAGGTAAGAATGGCACATCAATAGATGAAGTAATGAAACTTGATCAGTTGAGGTGGTTGGGACATGTGCTGTGTATGCCTAACCACCGACCACCGCGATGAGCTTTGTTTTGTAGTGTAGGAATAGGTTGGAAGAAAGCTAGGGGCGGCCAAACCAAAACATGGCAGAAATCCATGAAGTCACTGACAAGTGGACCCAGTCATGTCGGTAGTTGTCGACTACCTGGTTGGGGTCCGCGAGATGATAATAATCGATGGTTAGAGACCTTGAATGACATGGCTCAAAACCGTTTGCAATGGCGCAAGTGCATTCATTCTTTGTGTTCTCTCAAATCTTAATCTTCTGGATTCTTCAACACCTCTAGTTCTTGACCTTCTAAACTTTTCTCATTTAATCATACTTCTTGAATAATATCTCCTCATCCTAACCTCTGCGATTACTTCTAATACCCTTACTACCTCTTCTACTATTGGATTTGAATTGAAAATTACATCTCTGTGCTGATGTGGTATGGCGACATGAAATGATGTACTTACGTACTAAGTTCTACGTTGCAACTGACTGACTGACTGAGGTAAATATAGAAAATAGGTTCTTGAGGTTGTGAATCTTAATCGACCGAGATGGGTTGGGTATACATTATTTCGGCTCATCCAGCTTGATATATGACGCTAGTATAGTTGTAGAAGTAATAGAACTATTAGTAGTAATGGAGAAGATTAGGGTTCGAAGAAATTCTTCATAAAGTATCATTCAGTGAAATAAATTTAAAAAGAGATAAGAAAAGGTGCTGAGCTCATAACGTCATGAGAGAAGGCAAACAATCGATGCACTTGCACAACTGTAAATAATTTTGAGGCATGTTATTCAGTCTTCAACCATTGCTTACTATCGTCTCGCGGACACCAACCAGGTAGTCTACACTTAACAACATGGCTCAGTCCAGTTGTCAGTGACTTCATGGATTTGTGCCATGTTTTCGTCTAGCCGCCCCCTAGCTTTCTTCCAACCTATTCCTACACTGCTAAACATAGCTCTGCGAGGCTGTAAGTGGTTGAGCATATGTAACACATGTTCCAACCACCTCATCAACTGATGAAGTTTTAATACTTCATCTATTATTGATATGCTATCCTTACCTAGTACCCACTTTTTAACAACAGCATAGCTTACTTAGTAGTAGTCCCAGGATATACCAGTAATACTTCGAAGATACCTATTACTACGAAAGCCAGTATAACCTACGAATATCCTCTACACTTACTGATCGATCATATTTCACACACGTATAGTAAGTAGGACAGAGCAAACTAGGGCGAAGTAAACTCGTCATTTGATTAAAAGACGGATTATATACTTACACATATATATATATACTAATTTACAAACTTACCATCATAACAAGTTTCTTCACCACAATAAATTCCATTAATTTGAGCATAAGATGAATGAGGTATTATAGTAATAATAAGTGTTAAAATAAGTAGGCATTTTGTCAACTGCTTAAAATTCGCCAAATAAAATGGCATACCTAGTAGTTGTTTAAAAAAAAATAATAATAATAATAAAATACTTGTTAGTATAACTCTGTTTACTCTGAAAAAACGATAAGATTTATCGATTATTCATATTAAAAATATAGTATACACATAAAAGTGCAAAAAAATTGAGAATGGATACATTGAAGAAACTTTTTTTTAGAATTAAGAGAATTAATTCATTTGTGTACTGTGTATTTGAATATTCTTCATATTGATGTTTAGAATTTACAATTGATCAGTTAGATTTGGTATATGTGTATCCTGTGAGGATTATCTCGACATTATCTTACAGTCAGTTACAACGTAGAACTTCGTACATCAGTACATAAGTTCAGGTTGCCATACCACATTAGCACAGAGAAGCAACTGTCACTTCAAATCCCATAGTAGTAGTAGAGGTAGTAAAGGTATTAGAAGTAATCGGAGAGGTTAGGTTTAGAAGATATTATTCAAGAAGTATGATTCAGCGAGATAAGTTTAGAAAGTCAAAACTAGGGGGTTCAAGAATCCAGAAGATTAGGATTTGAGAGAGCACAACGAATGGATGCACCGGCGCCACTGCCCGACCGTAGCTGCTACCTTGACGTGGTGGTCGGCCTTGCCTATCATGATGATCCAACCAAGCTATACTGGCTGGAACATATGTTCCTGAAGATTCTACCATGCCAGGCAGGTCGATTGGAGAACGATCAGACTAAAAGCAGCTACCCAAGGTCTCAGAGCGAAGTCGTACTGCTGACAGCAGAGGGGTGTGACAGCAGTAAGGTGTTTCCCTCAGACAACCAGCATCTGCCTTCTCACAAGGAAGGAAGGGTTAGAAAAGATCGACCTTAAAAATGTCACACCTCACCCTACCTGACGGATTCCCGTCTCTTGGGGTTAGGGTGCCCACTAAGGGCTTTCAAGAGCGGAGCTAATACTCAAAAAACCTTTCATTAAAAGGCCGTGTGTGACCGGCCTCAAGCAGTTGCCTCTTGGGCTCTGCGGTCACCCACCCAGGTCTCTAAGACCAACACTAATCTATCTTCCCTTTCAGGTCCCCCAAGAAACAACCTTCCACGGTTTGGGCAGCCGGGAAGTGACAACCGCCCTCATACACATAACAGCACACGAGACCAAATTGGTCGAAATCAAATCCTTCCTACACCCACACATACCTCTCGTCTCTCCACAACTAACTCTACTCACACAATTATCGCAGTAAGCTAAGAATGATTAAGGATTTAAAGAAAACGCCACTAGGGAAGATTAATTTTTTTATCTGACAAAATAACATGCTGATATACAGTCACTTATGCGTATCGTAGGACTTCGCATATGCATTATACATGCATTTAAACTGCCATATAGACTACCCCATTAGCATAGTGTTGAAATTTCGAGGAAAAAATACAAGTAATTCAAGTATTAACAATAATAGTGATAACAGAAAATACTAGCCATCTAAAATACAATTCAAGGGGGTACAATGGATTAGTGAGATATAATAAGAATTTTGCTAACATAATTTTAATCACTCAATCAGTCAGCTACAACACAACATGGAACTTGGAATAGTACGTACAAGGTAGTTTAGAATTAAGGGGAAGATGAGGAGTGAATGTACGCACACTATCGTAAACAATCTTAAGCTGTGCCAAACAAACTCTGTGAACATAGGCTAAACTAATCAAGCTTACCCAAACAGATGGTCTATACATATATACACATAACTATGTTCAACAGTTAGTATCTTCATGAACTGATATCCTATCTTGAATTGGTAATTGGTAGAAATTCTTAAGAACATCCATCAGTCCAAGTTGCCATACTACATTAGCACAGAGATGTTATGACATACCACATTATCAAGCACAGAGAAATGAAACTGTCAGTTCAAATCCCAGTGGTAGAGGTTGCAGCATTATTAGCGGGAATAGGGAAGACTAGGGATTGACAGTAATATTCATGAGAATAGAAAATCAATCAAATGAAGTGAAAAATAATTATGAGCAATTTAGATACCTATAATATGGGGAATGACGAAGACTGGATGCACGTACACCATTTCAAATCATTTCGAGTCATGTCATTAAAAGTCTCTGACCACCGACTATAATCGTCTCGTCGACCCCAACCACGTAGTTTACCCTCACCCCCCACATGTCTCAGTCCAGTTGTCTATAATATCAGCATCCGTTCCGACATGAATTTTTAGTTTGAGACATGATACTCAGAGTTGTTTTCAAGTTAAAAGATCATTTTTCCATATTCATGGAAAGACCGGAAGCGAAAATTGGTGAGGCTATAGTACACCTATACTACTATGAGATGCCGACTAAACCCGTAGCTCATGTGGGAATTTCAGAAGTCGTACGTCAGGTAAAAGGCAACCAGATAACAAATGATCGCCGCACAACCATTGCTGTACTTCAGCAATTTAGCTCTGTGTTCGAGGAGAGTATCTCCGGAAACCGGACGACCACAGTACAACACTCCACTTTCACAGAGGACCATATGCCCTTTCGGCAGCCACCTCGCAGGGTATCAGTACACTGTCGACCACAACTAGGTGCGATAATAAAGGATACCTATGTGTGCCTCTGGATCCACTAACAATAAGGACTAATAAATACATTTGATGGCTTCATGAACCTTTACACAATTCAAAACATTCAGTTAAGTAAAATCTGTCACATAGTAGGAATTCCCTTACAGTGTTTCCCGAAATAGTTATAAAGCAAATTCTTTGAGGATAAATTCTTTAGTCCACCCATTTAAGTAGTTGTTAGGGAAACATTAGTTTTATATGGATACGTATAACCAGATTGCTGTTTCTGTCATTTAGTTTGAATTTTGAAAGAACCAGGTTCACGTAGAACTTTGAAATCAGTTTTTTATTTGCCGAAAACAATTAGTAAATATAGTGTCATAGAAATTAGGGATAGCTGAATTGTGAAAAGAGCTTAGTTACATAGTGCTAGAGTAGGGGAATCACATTGCTAATACCAAACCAAACAGTGACTGCTTCATAATAAGAGACAAAAAATACAGTAGGGCATGTAACAGGCCAGATGAATTACATAATACCTGACTACACATAATTCAAAATCTTCACTAATTACTTTGGAGTAAAAATAGAAGAGAGAGGAACTCCCTACAACTAGAGGACGTTGGTTTCTTTTGATACAAGACAGAAGTAAATAGTTCGACCTAGTGAGGATCATGATTACTGACGAACGACAAACAATTACTTCTGTACATGATAAGACATCTATAAACATAGAGTTATGTGGAAAGACCGGTACGATCGCACAATTCACAGTGAAAACTATTTTCGAACACTGAAAAGTATCACCGAACCATAGGTATGCTTTGATGATACTGTTTTTACATACGTATATTTAAGTCTGAGGGATTGTTAACATCCACTCTCCACTTAACTGAAAAACAATACTTGCAAGCCAAAACAAAATATTACACAACTATCTAGATATCACTGAGTCAACTTCCTTCATGTTGCAACTTAACAAATATTTAAAGCATATGCGTGAATTATATCTTCGGACACTCACTTATAAAAAAGTGCATGCGTAAAAGTATGTAACTTTATCTGATTAGGATATTACTTACAATACTCACTACCTTAAAAGGTTTACTCTAAAAGATTCAAGCACAAGACGACAACATACCTAAAACGCGCTGTAGCGCTTGAATGTAATGGCCCGCGGAATTCACAGTACCAAAATCCAATGTCTATGGTGACCCAAGATGTTCTCAGTTATGATAAAAATCGAGGTCTGGAATGTTGAAGGAACAGTTTCAATCATAGAATTTGCATATAAAACTAGGATCTCAACTTTCTTGCACCTTATTATTCGACATTATTTAAATTGTAAAGGAATAATTTTGTCATTAGACGACCCGTTCTAAAGTTGCTGAAATATTTCTTCTTAGTTTATGAACAGAAGTTAAAGATGAATTGCAGGTGCCCCTACCATGCTGACAGGGTCAAAACTCAGTGGGAAACAACGTGATATTTAGATGTCTGTGCACTCCAGCCTGACTTAACTGTACTGGTAGTTTGTCTAAGACAAAGCTTGTACTTATAGATTCAGCTAAACATGTTGAAATGTACTTTGTAGCTACAAAGGCGGATGATTAAAGCATTGAGATTTGGCTTTTTACACGTAATCCCGTCCCAATGAAATCTATATGGGGCAATGTGCTGCAACCTGAAGATCACGATTCATTGTCATGCAGCTGCAACAAATAAGTTCGGATATTTTCTAAGTTGGATACAAGCATGTTCACTGGAGTAGACACCACATAACTAAGGTCCTGTGGCATACAGGCTTTCATACCGAATTTCAGAGCCCGTTACCTTAGTAGGCAGTACCTGTACCTTCAACTGACGCATTTTAGGAAAACACTGGACACTCACAGAAGCTTTCTTGAAAAAATTAAAAAAAGCCGCTAGTCTTCCGGTTTCAATACACAGATATAAAAATCAGAATACAAAAAAATGAATCCCGATATTTTAGGTAGAACCTTGTCATACTTCAACCTAACGCTCACGAATATTCTTAGGAAAATATGAAACCAAACAGTACGATCTATGGATCAATGATCACGATGAAACAGATTACATATCTTCACATAATGAGTAAAAATTTTTAGCAAGAAGAGAGGTGTACTAGTAGCGGTAGAAATAATATAATCGCGTTGAAATCCAACTGAGAACAGTACCATTAGTTTATATGGATTGTATAAGTCTAACGCTAAGAATGTTGAACACGTTAGAGCCTGATTTTTTGTTGAAAACAGATAGATAAATAAATAAATACAAAGGGTGCTCAGAGTTGACGATTTCGCCGGTGAAACCTTCGAGACAGAGAATACTCCAAGTCAATTCTAGTCAGATGTTATATAGAGAGAGGATCGAAGGTGTATCTGAACTATATTTGGGATGAAGAATGATTGAAGTAAGCTTGCTAGTTGTCGTACGGGACGTACCACAAGGCCGTTTGTTGTGAATGTATGACTGGGCGACTGTATTCACTGCTACAGCTCACTCTTCAACCGAAAGGGTATTGACGACTGCAAGGTGTGGGCAACCGGGAGTTTAAACCAACATACACATACACATTAGAATCATTAATCAATCATTGTTAGACCACCACTAGGAACCAGGAACCACTGGATGGCGGTTTCTTCCTGGTACAGGACTCACCAGCACTGCGCATCCTCGACTGCTGCACCTCGCAGGATTCGAACCCAGGACGTTCGGTATTGTGCTCGAAGGCCTAACCATCGGACCACTGATCCGGGATCCAACGGTGTTAATGTTTAATTCTGATCAACCAACAGATTTTGAGCAACCTCACCCATTTGTCTTTGGTAGTTACTGCCTACACCCGACAGGGTTGAACCCCGCTAATCATGTTTTTTCGCTAGAACTCTGGGAAGTTCCTCACGAAGCTAGTCACTAGTTAGCACATTTTACGGTTTTCTTCTGATATCTTGTTTCTCCCAGCAGCGCCAGGTCATCTTTGCCTACCTTAAGGAGCCAATGTGGTACATAGCGCTCATTATATTGAAATTTCACACAAATTTATAAGCATGTTTAAAATACTACAACCTAGTTTTTTTCAATAAAATATGTACAAGCATATAAAAAATTTTGATACAGTGAAAAGTTGGAGTACCAACAGGAAGTCCGAGAGCTCGGGAAAACTGAGAAGAATGAGTGAGCTTCTCAGATGTCCTACAAGCAGTGTTCATATATGTGCTCTGAGAATCTCACAGATTTTCTAGAGTGCATCATTTCAGATCGCATTTCGAAGACAGACGGAGGTTCCTTGTCGTCATCACTGATCGGAAACTGTGTGGTGGCCTTAGAGTCGTTTTGTTAGTGCTCGTATTCGGATGGTCATCATCGAAACCATTTGTCCCCGGTTGTGCGATTTTCAGCTGGTTGATGCTGGCGTTGTCTCCAGTCCTAATCCTATCAGACTGAGAGTACTTGGGCTCGCTATAAAGAATTTCGTACTGTCCTTTGTGTACAGCTTCGAGAAGTCAACGTAATGGGTTTTGACGTACAAAAATGTGTGTACTAAATCTTAAGAAGGGTTGGACGAATACATCAATTGTTTGAGTTAGAGCAGAAACATGTGTGACTGAACACATTACGTGCGTAAACCCGCAGGTGCAGAACTTTAGGTCTTCACCTGTCAAAACAGATAAAGGATCTAGGAAGTCTCATATTGGTCGAATTGTCGTGTTGTCACGAGTTCCACGGCAGTGCATCCAACATCGGCTTCCACTGTATTGCGAATTCCGAGTGAAAAGAGTGAAAGAGCCTGAGCCCATAATAATACGTTAGTAGCTGAAAGTTAGGCTTTTAACTGCCTATTGAATCGTTCTACTAAACCGTCACCTTGCTGTTGGTAGGCGGTGGTACAGAATAGGATGATTCCTAGAAGTATAGTAAGACAGTGGAAAAGTCCATATTCGAAGTGGGGTCGACGGTTTCGAACGTCGGTTGATGGGCAGCCGAAGTCTACTGCCCATCGTATGTCACTGTTTCAGCAGTAATATCCTAGATAGATAATGTTTCCGACCATCGTTTGAAACGGTTCACACACGCCAAGGGGTTAGAGTATTCATTTTAATCTGGTAAGTGTCCCATCAAGTAGTTACAAGCATGGTCTGAGAGAAAGAAGAATTTTTATTATGCCTAACTACTTGGATTTCTGTTAGCTCGCACTGTGGTATTCCCACTCCCTCATCTGTTAGGTTTGTAGTTTCAAGGTTGTTAAATACAACCTGTGCCGAAAATTAGTGTTTTTTTTAAGTTTAGCGAGTTTAAGGTCAATCGCTTGGATAATGTTCGAGGAAGTTAAACGAGACAATGTCTGTAATTACGTTGTTTGCCTCAGAAATATGTTGTATGTCTTAGCAAACTACGAGACATATAGTATTGGGACAACTGAGTAGAGTAATCGTCCGGAGACGAGCCAAAACAAAAGGTTCAAGGTTTATGGTATAAGAAGCTGTGCAATCCTGGCCTTCCACAGAGCTTTGAAAATTTTGTATAAGACCACACGTGAATACGGGTTCCCAGCAGAAATTACTAAATCTCCATTCAGCGTCTCAAAAATATCGTTAAATGTTATAAGACTTTTTTATAAGACTTATCCTGTTGCTGGATCATATGTGTCCACTGCTATACTAATGGGTGCTTAAGTGTTGGTGCGCGCCAACGCAGAAAACGCTCTCTTCACAATGTAGTCCAAATTAATAGTTTTAGCATTTCCAAGTATTTGGTCGGTTAAGGGTCTCATGATATAAGCGCGATTCCGCATGAACTACCAATAAGAAGAACCCACGAGACCAATAATCATATGTAGATTCTTGGCTGTGATCCCTTCCAAGAAGTTCGAAATGGGCGCCGCAACGTTTCCTAAAAGGAGAATACCCTTAGACCTAATAGTATGCCGGAGAAAGTTGAGTGGATAGGTTCTAATATCACGTTCGTACTACTTAACGGTAATACCATATTTTTGAAGTCGTCGGAAAACAAGTTTCAGGCCTTGGAGATGACATTTTTTGTCCACACTAGCAACTAGACAGTCATTTACACGAGCATGCGCAAAGTGGAAGCACCTAAATGTCATCAATGAGTCTATAAAATGTTATGCAGCCGAAGATTTCTCTCGCACAAAATAGAAGAGAATGAACGATTTTTCCCAACAAAATTCGAACAACTATTTGCCGATAGAGGTTTGAAGGACCATTACCAGCCGGCAATCAAAGATCAACAATCATTCAAGGAACCAGGCTATCACCTTGTAACTTGTCAGACACAATCTAAATATCAAACAACAAAAATTAAAATAACCAAGATAAACATATACTAAGGCCAAATAATAAAGACTGAAAAAATGAAGCACAGTTGCAAGTTTCCTGATTAAATCTGAATGCAATCATGATCAAAGAGTAAGGGGACAATAACGCTGTCCAATAAGAAACTGTGGAGGGATTTTCAGATTATTCTTTCCGTTATAATGCGTTTAACCACGAGTGGGCACGACCACCAACTAGAGAATAGAACCCGTCAAACAGCTAGTATGGTATTACCGTCTACTAAGTTCCATTTGCTTAGGCTGACCAGTAGGTTATGGTGTTGTTCTAAGTCTATACCGATGATTGGCATTTAGACGTCTGCCACAACGAAAACCCGGTGAGTGAGTTTACGTAAACCAATGTTAGGGTAAACGTACCTTTTTACGAAATCGGTTATTCGTTTCCCATTTACCGCTTGTACGTTGAATACTGGATCGCCAAAAGGATTCTGGCTTCTTCGCCAGTGTCGAAAAGATCGCGAACCATCATCGTCACATCAGTGATGTAAAGAAAACAGCATTGTCCACCAGCAACGGTGACCGTTAACGCGAGCCAGTTGAAAAGTTTCCTGTTTGTGACAAAAAATTTAGGGCTGGGGAAATTGTACAGTCTTCTGAAATACCCAAAAGATTTACCATAGGTGTTGTGGTAGCAACACCAGTTTGCGTTATCCGTTTCTCCAGGTCTATAATCAAATCTGATTCAAGATTCGTTTTTAATGGAGTTTTCAATTGTTCGTCATTACGATGAAGATATAGAGATCATGTGATTGTATTACAGAGGTCTGCAATATTGTTTCGAGTTGATCTAGGTGTTTGTTCAAGTAAACAAACCTCAGAGATAGGGGTCTTGGTGATCTCCAGAATCCTATCTGAAGACATAACTAGTTCGTTCACAGCGTTGGTTTGGAATTAGATGAGATGCACTTCTAGCAAAAGTTTGATTAAAACGAATTGTCGGAAGAGTTCTTCCTAGAAGGTACTCTGATCAGTTAACTGTTTTATAAGTAGCAACATTTCTGTAACCAGGTCATATCGCAGTTCAGTGTTGCGGAATAGATGTTCTTAATTTTGTTAGGTCTTCAGGTTCAAGAATTGTTTGTTTCAGGGTTTGGTAAGTAGCAAAAATACAACCAGTCAGCAAATTACGTGTAACTCACTTTTCAACTCGCCTGGTGGGTCTTTACTGTGCATGTGGATCTGTTACGCTGAACTCATATAAATCATCCTCTGGGTAGCAGATCCAAACTGATATGGCCAGAATGATAAGAGTTGATATATTTCCTGTACTCGATATATTGAATTTTATTCATTTCCTTTTGTTGGTTTCTATAGTTTTATTGGACAAATTACTTCTCATTTTTTTTCAATTTCGTAAGCTCTGCATGTCACCAATCTATACTGAACGCACCACACTATTGAAATTAGACTTTGTACAATCACTGAACGTCACACAGCTGATTCGTCTAGTTAGTGATGAGTAAATATACTATCGACGAATTTGCCTTCAAACTCTTAGTTTGGAGTTTCTACGAAGTTTGACGACTACAAAATTGACTACAATTCTGAATAACTGAAGTTTGGTAAAACTATGAAGTTTTCTGCAATATCTTCATTTTATAGTCTCTACATGAATTACATTTTAGACTTCTATTTTAACCTTGTATTCGTGACTAATTTAGAAATTGACTTACAAATGATCATTCATCGTTTTCGAAAGATAGATTATTTAGCTTTTTACAAAATTTCCTATATGATAATCTTATCAGTGTTAAGCTGCTCCTCTCGTCCAATAATCAAACAGTTTTGACAACCTACTTATAATACAAATAAGTAGTACAAAATATACTTTTTATATTTAGCAAAGTTGTCATAAAATTCATCAAATCTATCATGTAAAAAAAGTTGGATTACTAACTCATTTTTACATAATAAGTTTACTATTAAACTAGTATTACTATTGATATTCTTAGGTTTATAGAATAAACAATAGTTATCAGTTTATTTAATGACAGAATTACTCCCAACTGTTCAAAACCTACTCTGACAACTACTAAACGATTTGAAATTAAAGATAACAGAAGATATATGAACATAGATGATTGCATAAAAACGGAATTGTTCGGTTAAAAATTATGATTAGTAGATTCATAGTTGACTCCGCCAGTAGAAACTTCGAGGCTACTGCCGGTCCCAAGCCCGGATAAAGGAAGAGGGTTGGACATGGGGTTGGCGACCCCATTCCAACTAAAAACTAACTTGCCAAAAAAACGCTAACCAGAAAAAATAATTCAAACAATTTTAACTCTGCCCTGGGAGTTGGAAGAAGAATTATGACGTCGTGTGATGAAAGCCGAGTTCCCTCGGAAGTCACGGGGCTGATGCCTCTCCTCATAACCAGAGCAACCATTCTTTTAGGTACATGGAACGTTCGTACATTGTGGGAGGATGAAAGATTATTTCAAGTTGCGGCAGAAGTGAAAAGATACAACCTCGAGGTGCTCGGCATCAGTGAAACGCATTGGACACAGGTAGGACAACTGAGACTAGCTTCAGGGGAACTGCTGTTATACTCTGGTCATGAAGAGGAAGATGCTTCACACACACAATGAGTTGCACTGATGCTGTCCAAACATGCACAAAAGGCACTGATAGGATGGGAATCTCATGGACCCAGGATCATTAAAGCATCCTTCAAAACAAAGAAAGAAGACATTACAATGAACGTCATGCAATGCTATGCACCTACCAATGACTACAATGACGACGATAAAGATCAATTCTACGAATTGCTTCAGTCAATCGTCGACAGATGCCCATTAAAGGATTTGACGATTCTTATGGGAGACCTGAATGCCAAGGTTGGAATGGAAAACACTGGATCATGATGGACTGGGAGAAAGGAACGAAAACGGTGAGAGATTTGCAAACATATGTGGTCATCGGTGGCACAATATTCCCGCACAAACGCATACACAAAGCCACATGGATTTCACCGGACCACACTACTCAACACCAAATTGACCATATCTGTATCAACAAAACGTTCAGAAGGACTATGGAGGATGTGAGAACCAGGAGAGAATCGATCGTGTACTGACCAAATTGCTACATTACGGATCATTGTGGAACAATCAATTTAATGGAACTCACCACTCTACATCAACTTCATCGACTACGAGAAAGCATTCGATAGCGTGGATAGGAAAACACTGTGGAGTCTTCTTCGACACTACGGTGTGCCTTAGAAAATAGTTAACATCATACAGAATTCTTATGATGGATTCAACTGCAAAGTCATACACGAAGGACAGCTAACCGACTCTGTTCGAGGTGAAGACCGGTGTCAGGCAAGGTTGCTTACTCTCACCCTTTCTCTTTCTCCTGGTCATCGACTGGAAGATGAAGACGTCGACGTCTGGAGGGAAGCACGGTATGAACTGGACAGTCAGGACTCAGCTGGACGATTTGGAACTTCGCAGATTGTCCTGGCTCTTCTATCTCACACGCAACAACAAATGCAAGAGAAGACGACCAGTGTAGCAACAGCCTCTGCAGCAATAGGTCTCAACATACATAAAGGAAAAAGCAAAATTCTCCGATGCAACACAACATGCACCAACCAAATCACGCTTGATGGAGATTCCTTGGAGGACGTTAACACCTTTACATATCTGGGCAGCATCATCGACAATCAAGGAAGATCCGATGAAGATGTGAGGGCGCGGATTGGCAAAGCAAGGGCTGCATTTCTACAGTTGAAAAATATCTGGAACTCCAAACAACTTTCAATCAAAACCAAAAGCAGGATTTTCAATACAAATGTGAAGACAGTTCTACTGTATGGAGCAGAAACTTGGAGAACTACCAAAACCATCATCCAGAAGATACAAGTGTGTTTGTTAACAGCTGTGTTCGCAAAATACTTCGGATTCGTTGGCCAGACACCATTAGCAACAATGTGCTGTGAGAGAGAACAAACCAGATTCCAGTGGAGGAGGAAATCAGGAAGAAGCGGTGGAAATGGAGTAAAGCACCTAACTGAGTCACAAGACAAGCCCTCATATGGAACCCTCAAGGTCAAAGGAAAAGATGAAGGCCAAGAAACATATTACGCCGACAAATAGAGAAAGACATCAGAAGAAGAAGAATGAACAAAAGCTGGAAAGCCCAGAACAGAGTTGGTTGGCAAATACTGGTTGGCAGCCTATGCTCCATTGGGCGGGTAACAAGCGTAAGTAAGTAAGTAAGTAATTAAGTAAGCACAAAAAGACAGAAGTTGAATTAGTAATTTTTTTAAAAAAAAATATCATTCCTAATGTATATTTGAATTTTTCACAGTAATAAAAATGATTATAGTAATAAATATTATAAACTAACTAGTTAATTAGTTGCGTGTACAATAAATAAAATAATCATCATAATAAAACTATAAATCATTTAAAATAATTATTGATAATAGTTATTATTACTATTATTATCATTATTAATGAATAAGTAAATATTTATATATATATATATATATATATATATATATATATATATATATATACTACTGATAAGTCCCACCTTAGGATAAAAAACACTTATTATTACAAAATATTTTCTAACTTTAATCAAGTAGTTTACCGAATTCCATGATTTAAACCATAAAAATTAAAAATTTCGCATTGTTTACCTTTTAAAATTTTCTCTCTGTTATTAAATGCATGATATCAATACATTGGATGAATGGGATGTAAAATTATTTATTGTTTTAAAAAGTCAACATGTGGCACTTTTTTTTTAGAATTTTTCTAAAATCTTTTAATTATCTCACGATAACTAAAATTTCAGTGTGTCATTTTCATTTAACCGCAGTTATTCAGTTTGTGTATTACAGTGTGTAAATAATCATAAAAGTCGGAAAATCACATGATAATTTAACATAATTTTTATAAAGCAAAATTTTCAATAGATAATTATTATTTGTTTGTTCAATGTTCAATAGTAATTTAAAAAGTTAATGAACATTGAAATAGATTAGATAAATTGTATAGAGATTTTTCAATATTTCAATTGTATAAAATATTTTCAAAATGTCAATAGAAAATAAAACATAGTTAGTTGTTCTATCTTGTAAGAAAGTAAATGGTTATAGACTGATATTATTTAAGATGCCACTGAAGATTGGAGAATATACCAATCTGTTGTGTTGGTGTTTCGTTTTCTGAGCTGGATGTTTTGACTGTGGAACTTTCATTGTTCTTCTGAATAGAACATTATCAGCTCAAACTTGAGGTAGAAGTTTATGAGAAAGAAGACAAATGATCCAGTGACACGATAGGCTACTCTAATCCAAGCATCCCAAGGCCCTACTAAGTAGAGGATGAAGTCTTGACAAGAATTAGAAAGTGTATTCTACAAGCACCTAGAAAATATGAGGTCGAAAAGAACACAAATCGAGTTTATTTATAAATGACAGAAACATTTTTGTAGGAGTCACAAAAATAGCGTACTAAAATAACGCATCAACCAATGACAGTCAAGGATTTTCCGGGTGGGAAATGCAATCTCAAGGTCAACTGATCAGCCTATGCATAAAATCCAAAATTAGAACCTTTATCAAATGAGTTCTGGGGATCTAACGACCCCAACACTCGTCCACAGCTGGTTCGTTTGCGTATGACTCATAGCTTGTTCTGTGAACCTCAATCTTGATTGGCTGTTATTGACCTTAAATCTGTCGTTGTCTGTCAAAATGGAAATGAAGACAATGACAGGTTTAAGGTCAATAACAACCAATCAAGATTGAGATTCACAGAACAAGCTATGAGTCATACGAAAACGAAACTTCATCGCAATTATCCACCTGAGCTAGAAATTTTCTTTATCCATCTCAAAGTACTAGTCTATAACCTATTAAATGGTCAAATATCGATAATATTTTAAAAATCAATTTCTATGCAGTGTACTCCATGTGATGTGCCTTCAACTACCGTGATTCAATGTTAAAATGTAGAAAGAAAATGATATTGACCGAATTTCATTAAAACGTTTCTTATTGAAACCAATTTTACATCATATAAATTATATAATTTACACTTAATATGAACACTATATGGTAAAATGATTGCAAGATCCATTTTTTGAAGGCTTTGTTTAGGTAAATTCCTTCATGTATATGTTTGTAATTTGTCCTTATTGATTCATTCAGTTGTACATTTTGTTAATCTGTTCGATTTCATTTTTGAGATGATAATATTTGTATTTTATTATAGTTTCTATTTCTTCTGCCTTCATTGAGTTTCTACATGTTTCTTTCTGAACTGCATTATGTTGTTTAAGCTGATAGTTAGTCATGGCGACAGCCATATTGATTTTGTTCCTCTTTTGATTGTGTTGCTTGCATGGATTAGAGTTGTACATTTGCTTGTGAAACACTCTGTGTTATAAAGCAACTAAATATTATCTGTGGGACGAATCTGATCTATCCAGAAGGGATAGAATATCAGTTATCTGTTGCTATTGATTTGATTAACTGAACAATCGTTGATGGAATAACTGAGTGGTAATATTTGTTTAGGTAATGATGTAAATTTATATTTATGATGAATATTAGAACTGTCATTTACCCATATCACTTGTTTTCGTTCTAAACTGGGCAATAGCGAGTATCTAAACAACCTAGACAGTTATTCTGCAGTCCAAACTTCAGTTTGAATCCTACAATGATTTTGACTATGTTCATTTATTATCTAGACAGAATAAAATTGTGCATTTCATGAGTGTAAAATCAAGCAAAGTTTTCCTAAATACTTGGAGTTATTCATTTCTTATGAATGAAACGGAAGAATTTATGTTAACATTTAATTTGATTAAGATATTTTAATAAGATATATAATAGACAATATCATTTGAACTACAACAACTTGTCTCTATACCTATGTACTTTTTGTGGTGGTGGTGTTTGGTTATCTGAGCTGGGTGTTTTGGTTGTAAAGCTTTCATTGTTTGCCTTCTGAATAACATCATCAGCACAAACTTCAGATAGAAGAAGTGAAGCATTCGAATTTCTCCACGTTTGACCTGTAGCTTGTTCTGCTAACCTCGATCTTGAAGTTACTAT